CTTTCTCATATTTTTCATTTTTAATTTAACATATTTGAAGCAGTATCTATTTTCCAGTTGATAACAAGAAAGGGAAAATATGTTCTCACATCTCTTCCCTCAAACTCCAGTATAAACTGTGACAAATAGCATTGATCATTGCAATTAGTCTTTTGCAATAAGTGCCTCCCACAATCAATATGTGTTAGGATGTAGGGATAGTTTATGACCTTAGGTTTTCATTATATTTGCTCATTGGGGCACTATTAACCTCCTCCCAGTTGATAATGTTTTCTTAATCTAAAGGACTTTCACTTTTAATGAATGGCTTGTGACTTGTGATGAATGATAAGCATTGATAGCAACACTTTCCCCATGTAATGAATATTATAGTTAAGTCAAACCCCAAACAATGAAGAATGAACTCATGCACTACCTGATCTAATTTTGTATAACACTCAAATGCTTTCATTGTACACAATGGGTCTTTTGACACTTGTGTAATAATTTTTTTAAATAAGAGGCCTGGTGCATGAAAATCATGCACTGGGAGTGGTCCCTCAGCCCGGCTTATGCCCTCGCAGTCCAGGAGCAGACCAGGAGCCCCCAGGGATCCAGCCTAAGCCAGCAGTCAAATATCCCTCTCGCAGACGGGGCTCTCGCAGCCTGGGACTTCTCACTACTTACCACCCACCTGCAGTGGAGCCTCTCCCGCCACCACCGCTATACTTGCCAGCCATTAGTCCATCTTCTACCTAAGTGGGAGCTCCAGGGGTGTGTGCTCTGACCATGAGGGGGCAGCTCCTGTGTTGAGCTTCTGCCCCCTCGTGGTCAGAGCACATCATAGTGACTGGTTGTTCTGCTGTTTAGTCGATTTGCATATTTAGGTTTTATTATATAGGAATTTTGTTGATTTCAGAGAGGCAGGGAGAGAAAAAACCAATGATGAGAGAGAATCTCTAGTCAGCTGCCTCTTGCACGCCCCCCTAACCCCCCCTGTGAATCAAGCCTGCAACCTGGGCATGTTCCCATGACAGGCCCATTGAGCCAAACCTGCCATGCTGTCTAATAATGTTTTGATTAAAATGTGATGAAGTACAGAAATAAATTATCTGTTTATAGGAAAGAATTTTATATTTATTGATAACCACCAATGCATCAATCCTAATTCCTTTATTGGGAGTTAGAGTATTTGATCTTAGCGGTGGAGAGACCTAAAAGATATAACCATCCTTCTGATCTGTGAATTAGATTTGGGCTTAGCCCTTGGGGTAGAGTAAATCCTGTACTTTAGGCTCCTTTAGCATTTTCCTGATTAACTTAAAAGGTGTGTGTGTGTGTGTGTGTGTGTGTGTGTGTGTGTGTGTTGCCTCTGCCATACTCTTGAGTATTTTGAATAAAAAAGGTCTGTGTGTTCACTTTTAATTTTCTGGCACCTAGTACTTAGTAGGCATCTGCAGACATTTGTTGAATTAGACCAATGGAGCTTTCCAAGGATCTCCACCCCAATCCTTCTTACATGTAACTGTTAGAGTCATATTTGTGACACTCTCTTGCTCAAAGTCTCCAATGGTTTCTCATCACCTGCAGAGTAAAGTTTAAACTCCTTAGCTGAGCCCTAGCTGGATAGCTCAGTTTAGAACATCGTCCCGATATTCTAAGGTTGTGGGTTTGATCTCTGGTCAGGGCACATACAAGAATCAACCAGCCAGTGCATAAAGGAGTGGAGCAACAGATTCTCTCTCTCTCTCTCTCTCTCTCTCTCTCTCTCTCTTCCTCCCTCTCTCCCTCTCCCTACCCCCTTCCCCCTCTGACCTCAATCTGCCTTTCCAACTTTATTTTCTACAGTTAGTCAAACTGATCTGTTTACTATTCCCTAGGGACTTCCGTGCCCTATCCTCTTCCCCGCCCCCCATCCATGTCTTAATTTGTATTGTCTCCCCTCCCCCCAAAAGCACTCCTCTCCTGTTCTAAATCCCTTTCTCAGGTGCCACCTTTTCACAAACCCTCTGATCATCCCAGCTGGAAGTAATCTCTCCTTGTTTTGAAATATCAGAACATGGTAACTGCTATTTGTCACATTTTAACTTTATAGAGGTATTTTTTTCCTGTTTAATCTCTTAAAGGGCAGGTCTAAAATGGTTCATCTTTGCTGCTCTACTTGTGAATAACATGAGGCAACTGATAAGTTCTGGAGTGGCTAAACGTATGAATTAATATCTGAGTAAATAGGCTTCCTGGAATAGTACTCCTATCCACTGGCTGAGGAGCAGGATATGAGGATTTGAGGATATGATACTTGCCATAATAAGATCCTGGGAAAGGGGGTACTCTGCCCAATGCTCCTGCAGATACCATTAGTCCAACTGTACCAAGTCCATTCAGGACACATTGACTGACGTCTGACATGTTCCGGGCTCACTACTTAGCTTGAGAAATACGAACAATATGTACCTTCACCTTAGACACCCTTCAGATAGATGGCAAGGTGTCCCAGGGTTCTGGCCGTGGGTATTTGGTATGTAAGTGCCAAGTCATGTCCCCAAGGGAGGCAGTGCTCACTGTGCTGAAATGTCACAGATTTGCTTTATTTGAACTACATTGGCTTGGCTCTGCTTGGCTAACTTATGCTTTGGTTGGTTTGACTAATCCATTCCCATAGTTCAGAAATTTTACCCCAGTTACATTTTAAACTTGATTTGTGTTTAATTTTTAACTTTATTAAAGCCAACTTTACTGTGGAGCTCAGAAAAATTGGCAGTTGGTACTTTTACATTTCACTGTTTTCAAACTTTCATTATTTTCCACTGTTGGGGAATACTGTGTCATTTTATTTAAGTCAATTAATATTGGTACTTGCTTAGGGAGGAAATAGACATAAATAACAGTCAAGTGTCACCATGGTATTGTACATGTGTTAGAAACAAGTTCACTCATTAACTTCTCTATTATTGGACTGTGTTGTAAAAACATGAATTAGTAAGGAATTAATAACATTACATAATTACATATTTGTAATTGTAAAAATAACATTATTCCTCACTCGGTTTCTTCTCCTTCTGGCAGCCCTATTATATGGATGTTGTTTAAATTCATGTTGTCCTAAAGTTCATTTTGAAACATTTCAGTGTCTCAGAACTATCCTTTCCCACACCTGCCCTCTCTTATGGTATATCTTTATATTCTAGCCATTCTGAACTCTTAATATTTGAAGCTCTCAGGATTCTTTTTGTGTCACTTCACCAGGTTAATTTCTACCACTGCTTCAGGACTCAAGCCTGAAGAAATCTTACCACTCCTGCCCTAGCTGGTTTGGCTCAGGGTCCCAGGTTCGATTCCAGTCAAAGGCACATGCCGGGTTGTGGGCTCGATCTCCAGTGGGGGATGTGCAGGAGGCAGCCAATCAATGATTCTCATCATTGATGTTTCTATCATTGATGTTTCTATACCTCACACCCTCTCTCTTCCTCTCTGAAATCAATAAAAAATCAATAAAAGCATATTAAAAAATAAAAAGAAACCTACCACTCCCTTCCCACCTCAATCCTTCCCCTTCTAGAATGAGTTACTTGCCTTTTATTTGTGTTTTTGTCACACTGCGCCTCTTTCAGAGAACGTACCGCAGTACATTATAGCTATTAGGTTACTTTTCTGTTTCTTCTAGCAAGCTGAAGTCTCCCCAGTAAATGGGCCTATATCTGATTCCTCTTTTGTATCTAGAAGTTAGCACAATGTCTGTTATATATTTGATACTCAGTAAATGCTTATCAATTAGACAATGCAGCGCTCAGCTTTCTAAACTCATTTCAAGGATGGAAGCTATCAGGAGTACTATTAACTTCTCTATTATTGGACTGTGTTGTAAAAACATGAATTAGAAAGGAATTAATAACATTTCATAGTTATGTATTTGTAATTGTAAAAATAACGTTATTATTCCTCGCTCAGTTTCCTCTCCTTCTGGCATCCCCATTATATGGATGTTGTTTCGATTCATGTTGTCCTAAAGTTCCTTTAAGCTCTCCTCCTGCTTTTTAATTTTTTATTTTATTTTTTTCCTAGAAGCTGCTCTGCTGGGATATTTTATCTACCTTGTCTTCTAGCTCACTGATGTGGTACTCTGCTTCTTCTAGTCTGCTGTTGATGCTTTCTATTGAGTTCTTTATAGCAGCGATGCCATTTTTCATTTCTTCTTGGTTCTTACACATATTTTTGAATTTGTCTTCCATTCTTTTCATCCATCTTATGACCATTTCTCTGAATTCTTTCTCTGACAGGTTGCTTGCCTCCACTTCGTTTACTTCCTTTTCTGGTGATGTCTCCTTTTCTTTCATATGCAGGCTGTTTATTTGTCTCCCCATGATCTCTCTTCTCCAGGTGTCTGGTTATGTAGTTTTCTCTCTCCTTATCCCAGGTAAAATCTGACCTTTCTGTGAGGGGGTGCAGAACTTCTCTGAATCTGCATGCTCATACCTCTTGGGGACTGGTGTTCTTAGGTTTGCAGCTGTTTGCTGGATGCCATAGTTGTAGATTCCCGGGATTTTCAGACTTCCGATAACATCCACTTTCCCCTTCAAGATGGCGCAATCTCTTCATCAGAGCTGGTCACTCTGGGAAACCCAGCAACTTTGGGGGCTTTCTGGTCAGGGGAACCCTGTCCCAGTCCCACCATCCCTCAACTCACCAACAAACATTCCCTGTGCAACCACACACTCTCCCTTTGTTCTCTCACTCACACACTATCTTGCAGTCTGCCTTCCCTTCGGTAGCCATCTTCCCTTCTTAAAAATAACATTATTAAATAACATTGTAAAACATTCAGTAGTGGGTAATTAATTTCCTGTGTAAAAAGAATACAGAATTCAGATCCTGAGCAACTTCTATCCTATAAGCAATATTCTACTAGTTGACACTTAACTATCATAAAAGTAGATGAACCAGACCATGTGTACCCAGAAAAAAAGGTGGGTAAGGGAGGAGTGAAAGATAAAGAAGGGAGTGAGTTAGCAAAATGCCACACAGCTACTTGCAAACTAGCACAAAGGTGAGTGTGCTTCATGAAGGTAGCTTGACTCAGAAGAGCTGAAATAGGAGCAAAGAGCAAAAGGCAACCAACGGTGAAAGCAAGAATTTACAGGGAACAGGCAGGCATGCGAGCAGGTGAGCACCCAGATGGGACATGGGTCCTGTGGGATTGTGGTCTCTCAGGCTCTGAGTGACAAGGAGGGAGGGAATCCAGAAGTGAAGCTCTGGAAAGGCAGACTAGGGAAGAATGGGGTTTACTATAGAGACACTGAAAAGACTTTAGAAGGATATGAGCATAGTGATAAACACAGGCTGGCACCAAAGTCTCAATGAAAAGAATTAAAGATGAGGCTTTGTTGGGAGTGAATAGGAGATAGAGAGCAAGATATATTGAGAAGACCATTTCTGAAAGTAGTGGATTTAAATAAACTGATGAATACCAATTTATACAAAATAAACCTTACTATGTGCATTATTTTCAGTAGCGTATAAAACTGAAAATGTACATTGACACATTTGAAGAAACAATTCTTCCTTGGAAGTTTGGAATTTTGGTCTTCCAAAGGATAGGTAATCTCCTTTTGGAAGGAAGTCAGCTATTATATTCTTACATGGGTGAGTTTCAGTCCCTGAGCTATTGAAAACTGTTCTTCCCTTCAGAGTATTTATTCAACACCTACTTTGTGGTTGCTCTGTTCCAGCACCAAGAACACATCATTGAACAAAACAGATATTCCTGCCTGTGTATAACTCACATTGGGAAGGGGAAGAGGTAGTTGGGGAACAGAAAGTATAAAAAAAACCAAAAAACAAAAAACAAACAAACAAACAAAAAAACACACCAAATAGTAAGTTATATAGTGCATTAGAAGATGAGAAGTGCTATGGAGAAATATAACAGGGAAGAAAGGTAGATGTGTATGTGACTGGGTGGGTTGCATTTTATAGAGTGGACAAGAAGGGTCTCACTGAGAATCTAATGGCAATTGAGCAAAAACTAAAGCGAATGAGTAAGCTGCGCAGGCTGGTGTCATGTAAATAGGACTCTATTCTATGTACTCTAAATTGTAAACCTTTCTATTATCATTCTTAAAGTAGCTAATCTTAAAAATTAGATTAGAAATGGTGTTAGAAGTGGGGTTGAGAGCAAAAGAGGCATTTTATGTGTTGATCTTTTGCTTTCTTTAATAACTGTTTAGTTTTACTAGTACACTGAACACCTGGCATGACTCTGCAGTTTTTACTCCATGAAAAAGGATACCTAGTATGCATTTTTTTCCCTTTGAAATCTCTTTTGAAAGGCAAATTCTTGCTTAATGGAAATAGAACATGGAGAAGTTTTTCAGAAACAACAATATAGAGAAAATATGAATGAGCCCTGTAGCAGCTGCTGTACATCAGTCATGGAGAGGGGGAAGACTGGTGACTGGAAAGTCCCTAAATACACGTTCTAGGGGAGAAAAGGGATCAGGTATTGAATATGATTTGAATTCTGGACAAGGCTAGGATCTGTTAATGCTCAGATAATCCTAAAGGTGGTTTCTGTTTTCAGCTATTTAGTTTGATCTACATGACCAGCTTATTTTCTGTAAAAGAAGAATCAGCCACAGGGAGTAATTTAAGATGTGAGTATGAATCTGGCCAGGCTTCTGCCCTGGTTTCAGTGGTTGATTTCCTGGGATGAAGTTTCCTTTGTGTAAGATTCTAAAAATTCTCCTTTCCTAACCAAAAACTCTGATTTTTAACCTCAGGATAAAAGTTCAACCTTGAAGAGTGTTCAGATTGATAATTCTAACTCTGCCTTTGTAGTATCTCAGAACAACTCTTTTAAATACTTTAAAATTCCAAATGCAATTTTAATTTGCTTTTATGTGTCATCTGTGGAGAATGATACATTTTGACATAGGAGATCAACAAACTTAAGAATGATTAAAAATCCTCAGTATTCTAACTACACCGAGTATTGTGTTAGAGATAAGGGGACTGGGAAATGGGGACTTTGGAATCAGATCTTGTTTAATGAGTAACTATGGCTTATACAAGGTGAATTTCAGAGATAAAGCTGGATAAGAAAACCTCCCCAAACTGTTTTGAAACATCAAAATGACAACTAAACTACAGAACAACCATTATCCAGAGCCATCTGAAATCTAGCTGAATGGAAATCCTACAACTAGGGATTAGAGTGCCAGCAGAGGCCATTGTTCTTTTTTTTTGATACCCCCTTTCCAGAGGCAGTATGAGGGAGCCGTATCTGCGTTTTCCATTAACCTGGCTCATATTCTTTGCCCCACCCTGGTGATTCCTTGAGACCCCACTCTACTCAACTTGTGGGCCCACCCAAACTGTTTCCAGTGACTTTTTGACATGAATGGTCTGTTTTGGCTTGTGCTTCAGATTTTTCAAAAATCTCTCAAGCAGCAGCTGGCCTCAGTGTGCCATACCTCTCACTAAGTGGCCACAGGTCCAGCACTAGTAGCAGGAGCCTTTGTTTGCAGCTTGGTCTCAGGGCACCTCCAAGCTCAGCACAAGTAGCAGCCATCTACAGATCACTTTATAGCTCATGGTGGGTGGCCCTAGGCAGCAGCTGACCTTGGTCTGAACCTCCTGGGAGGCCCAAAGTCAGTGCACTAAGTGGACAGTTTCAGACCACATTGAAGCACTACCCAGTCACCTCCATATGTGACACACTTCAGAAGTGAACTCAGCAGGCACCAAGCCCCGCTGAAGTAAGTCTTGCTCTGTGGGGTGGGCCCTGCACAACTGATCTTCCACAGTCATTGGTGGTCTTCTACAGTTCTTGCAGCTGATTGGCCTAGGAGATAAATCCCTCCCATTGTGTATATAGCAATCAAGGCTCAACTATACAGGAGGGTGTACACAGCTCATCTGGGTCTGGGATAGGAGAGTACAGTGTGCCGCAACCTTTTACGGCAGGGGTTCAGGATCTGAAGAAGGGGCCAATGCACAAATGAAAACATAGACAAGAAATATGAATTTAGAAGGCATGGGGGCCAGGAGGAGACCTCTCTCTTGGAGAGGCACACTCAAACCTGGCCTTACCTGCTTTTTATTCAATTTCAGATACACATCTTGCCCTCATTAAAGCACAGCAAACAGGTAACAGACAGATCATCTATAAGGTCAATAAAGATCAGTAAGGTTTAATAAACATTTACTTTGAGGCTATTAGGTCAAGAAATTGCTTCAAGCCACCACTATCTCAACACAGCCCTGCTAACATCCAAGGCCCATCAGCCTTCCGCATTCCTTGGTGCACTTTTATGACAATATTGGGAAAGCAGTGGCTTCCCACAACAGTGCACCTAGAATGCCCAGCTCAGGTGCATAGGGAGGCTGTGCCACTGGACCCTATAGAACACCTAGTACATAAGGCCATTCTACCAAGTCTGAGAGATGTTGCAGCTCAACCTAATAGATAGAAACAAACACAGGGAGGCAGCCAAAATGAGGAAACAAAGAAACATGTTCCAAAGGAAAGAACAGAACCAAACTCAAAAAAACAAACAAAAAAACTAGCCGAAACTGGTTTGGCCCAGTGGATAGAACGTTGGCCTGTGGACTGAAAGGTCCCGGGTTCAATTCTGGTCAAGGGCATGTACCTTGGTTGTAGGCACATTCCCATAGGCGGTGTGCAAGAGGCAGCCGATTGATGATTTTCTCTCATCTATGTTTCTAACTCTCTATCCCTCTCTCTTCCTCTCAGTAAAAAATAAAAATATATATATTTTTAAAAACTAAACAAAATGGAAACTACTAGATGCAGAGTTCAAAACATTGGTTATACGTATGTTCAATGAACTTAGTGAAAACTTCAACAAAGAGGTAGGAAATATAAAAATAGAGATAGAAAACATAAAAAAGAACCTGTCAGAAATGAAGAATACACTGACTGAAATGAATACATTATAGGGAGTCAATAGTGGAGTAGATGAAGCAGAGAATCAAATTGGAGATTTGGAATATAAGGAAAGCAGAAAACACTCAACCAGAACAGCAAAAAGAAAAGAGAATTCCCCTCCCACCACCCTCCAAAAAAATGAAGATAGTATAAGGAGTCACTGGGACAACTTTGAATGATGGGAGTGCTGGAAGTAGAAGAGAGAACAAAAAATTAAAAACGGTCCAGCCGGTGTGGCTTTGTGGGTGAGTATTGCCCTATGAACCAAGAGGTCACTGTTCGATTCCTGGTCAGGGTACACGCCCAGTTTGTGGACTTGATCCCCAGTGTGCCACATGTAGGAGGCAGCTGATCAATGATTTTCTTTCATCATTGATTTTTCTAGCTCTCCCTCTCGTCCTCTCTGAAATCAATAAAAATATATTTTTTTCAAAAAATTGAGCCCTAGCCAGTTTTGCTCAGTGGATAAGAGTATCAACCTGTGGAGTCCTGGTTTTGATTCTGGACTCTGATCAAGGGTACATGCCTCAGTTGCATACTCCCGGCTCTGACCAACTAATCACTGTATCTCTCTCACATCAGTATTTCTCTCTGTCTCTCCCTCTCCCTTCCACTCTCTCTCTAAAAATCAGTGGATGGAAAAAATATCCTCGGGTGAGGAGAAAAACAAACAGAAATTAAAATCCTATTTGAGAAAAAATGACAGAAAACTTCCCTTACCTGGTGAAGGAAATAGGCAAGATGAATCCAAAGAGGCCCATACCAAGACACATAAAAATTAAAATGCAAAAGGTTAAAGATAAAGAGAATCTTAAAAGCAGCAAAATAAAAACAGTTCGTTACCTAGAAGGGAGCTCCCATCAGATTGTCAGCTGATTTCTCAACAGAATTTTGCAGGCAAGAAGAGAATGGCAAGAAATATTCAAAGTGATGAAAAGCGAGAACCTAGAACCAAAATTACTCTACCTAGAAAAGCTATTATTTATAATGGAAGAAGAGAAAAAGGGCTTCCTAGACAAGAAAAAGCTACAGGAATTAATCACCATCAAACATTATTAAATGAAGTATTAAAGTGTCTTCTTGAAGAAGAAGAAGAAGAAGAAGAAGAACCAAATTGCAATAAATACATATCAACAGTTGAATCTAAAAAAACAAGATAAACAAGCAGAACAGAAATAGACTTATAGGTACAGAAAACATTGTCAATGGTTGCCAAATTTGGAGATGGCTGGGAAGATGAGGGGGGAAAGGTGAGGGGATTAAAAAGTATAAATTGGTTGTTGCAGAATAATCATGGGGATGTAAATTATAGCATAGGAAATATTGTCAATAATATCCTATTAACTATAACATCAAATGGGTATGAGATTTATCAGGATGATCACTTAGTAAGTTATATAAAGTCTGATCACTGGGATATACACCTGAAACTAATATATATTGTATGTCTACTGTAAGTGAGGAGTAAAAAATTATTTAAAAAATGTTTTGAGCAAAGTACATAAGGGGCAATTAAGGAAGCCTTAAATGTTAAGAGGATAGACCTGTCCTGTGTGCTCAGTGCAACGAGGCATGCGGCCCATCGGCCTTGAGTTTGACATGCTTGGTAGAGTGTTAGTCATGCATGGAAGGTTCTCAGGTTTGATTCCAATCAAGGGCATGTAACTGGGTTGCAGGTTCGATTCCCAGGCCTGGTGGAAGCAAGTGCGTAAGGCAACCAACAGATGTTTTTCTCTCACTATCTCCTCCCACACCTTCTTTCCCTTCCACTCTCTCTCTCTAAAAAAAAAATAAAATAAAAAAATAAAAAAATAAATGAAAACTATATTCTTGGGTGAAGATTAAAAAATGTTAGAGGATAGATATAGCATTAGCATTCTTCATTAATCCCAGGGGAAAATACAGCCTCTCCAGGCGACATTTTTCTCTGTTACCTTACTCTAGGTTTTCATCAATTATATTCAACCTATCAACCTATCATAACAAATTCAAAACAAAGAATGCTGAGCACTAGTACTGAGTTTTATGCCTTTGCTAAGGACACATAAAGAAATATAGGAGTAACTTGCCATAAGAGATGCACTTTTAAATCAGGAAAGAAGAAATGTTGGCAAGAGTAAAGACTGTTTTCTGATAAAATCTCACCATTGCCCTAACCAGTTTGGCTTCGTGAATAGAGCATTGGCCTGTGGACTGAAGGGTCTCAGGTTCAATTCCAGTCAATGGCACATGCCCAGATTGTAGGCTTGATCCCCAGTAGGGGGTATGCAGGAAGCAACTGATCAATTATTCTCTCATTATTGATGTTGTTATCTCTCTTTCATCCTTCTTCTCTGAAATCAATAATAATAATAAATCTCACCATTGACCTGCTTTATTACTTTCAGCAAGTTATTGAATGCCTCTGTGTTAATTTGTCCATCTGCCCTAAGTTCTTATGGGCATAACATGGCTTGAAACCTGTGAAGGATATTTTAAAAACCATAATGAATGAAAAATAAAACAAAAACCATAATGACCTATTTAAGTGATTTAAATTAAGTTAATTATTTCCTTGAGATGTGGTTGCATGTGCAAGCCAATGTCAACATTGTTGGTAACATATGTCAGTCCAATAACCTGATTTTTGAAGTCTGGAAACACTTGGGTACTGGGACTTCATAGCTCCTTTGGAACTTTATAACTTTAATTTAGAAATTGAAGCTTCTTATATCAAAAAAAAAAAAGAAAGAAAGAAAAAAAAAGAAAGAGAGGTAACAGGGAGAGAGGGTTAGTACATGCTCTAAAGACAAAATTGTCAAAATGGAGATAAGAAAATTGGACTCCACAATAGGAGCAAGGTGTCAGAGAGAGCCTTTGTATACATGAGATCCACTCTACAATTAAAAGCAGAGCCTGGTTAAATATAATTTAAATCCCAGATTTCCCTTTGCAACCAGATAGCCTTCAGAAAAGGTCCTCAGAGTCTGTGTCACCCTGGTCTATCTGGTTGTTCTGGTTATTAGAAACAGAGAAGAAGGGGCATCTTAGGAAAGGGGTGGTACTTCTATAATGGGTGTTTCTTCTTTTACAGGTGTAAACAAAAAGGCCACTTGATCTAACCTTGTATGGCTTTGTCCTTTAAGCCACTGCAGGTGTTTGAGCAGCACTGCTTCTGCAACAAAGGGCTAACTCACCACGTCTTGAGAAGAGAATGGCCACTTTCTGGGGAGCAGCCTTTTTCATGTTGGTAGCATCCTGTGTTTGCAGCACTATCTTCCACAGAGACCAGCAGACTTGGTTTGAAGGTGTCTTCCTGTCTTCCATGTGTCCCATCAATGTTAGTACCAGCACCTTGTATGGAATTATGTTTGATGCAGGGAGTACTGGAACACGAATTCATGTTTACACCTTTGTGCAGAAAATAGCAGGTAAGGGCAACTGGTACCCTCACCAGAGTCGATAAATCCATACTCTAGTAGAAACAAATGTACTGAGAGTGTAATGTGCATTACAGAATCTTATGACTATGGAATGTCTTTCTTCAGAGAACATTTTGGACTAGAGTATATAGTGTTTAATTCAATGTGAGATTAAGAGAGATCTGGGTTGCCTGTAGTTTGAAACCCATGTGTCCAAGAAATATAGCTAAAATTTGTCTTTCCTTTTTCTTTTAAAAAAATATATTTTTATTGATTTTTTACAGAGAGGAAGAGAGAAGTATAGAGAGTTAGGAACATCTATGAGAAAGAATCATCGATCAGTTGCCTCTTGCACACTTCCTACTGGGGATGTGCCCGCAACCAAGGTACATGCCCTTGACCAGAATCGAACCCGGGACCTTTCAGTCCGCAGGCCGACGCTCTATCCACTGAGCCAAACCAGTTTTGGCTGTCTTTCCTTTTCTTGAAAGCTGGTTGATACTTCCAGATGCAGAATGTTGAGAGTATTGGGGTAGTTTTGAGAGAAGGATCACTTGGAGAAGGGGAGAAGGGACCCTGAAGTATAATTTTTTCTGAATTTTCAGGATTCTGGCTTCAAGTTACATATAAAGCCTAGGGAAAGGAGTAGGAACTAGGTGTCCACCAGAGAAACGACAGAAGGACTCTCAAAGATTGCCTATCATCCTCTGTCCTCCTCCTCAATACTCCTGCCAGCCATTTGCCACAGGTGGGATTACCTGGAATAGCTCAGGGAATAGCAGGTTAATATAGTAGGTAGGTCATATGACACAGAGCCCAATATCAGAAGCAGCCCAATTTTTGGTAATCAGTCATCTCTTTTCTGTTTTAATCCTGGACAAAATAGGACAGCTTCCAGTTCTGGAAGGGGAAATTTTTGAGTCTGTAAAGCCAGGACTTTCTGCTTTTGTAGATCAACCTAAGCAGGTGAGTTTATTGTTTTGTTTTTTACAATTACAATAAAATGTTTAGATTCTTAATATATTGATAATTTTACCACACAGCTGCTGTTAAATATCTCGTGCTATTTACTACTGATACTGAGGTTATGTAGAGATCGGTTTTCTGTCCTCTGCTAATCTCCTGGATAACAGAAATTATATATCCTGAACTCACTAGGGCTTTAGTGAAAGGAGGCTAGAATCTCTTTAAGAGATTTCTCTCTTTGTATTTACTGTTTAAGGTTTTGATTTTGAAGCCATCAGCTGCATTAATTAATATAGAAGTAGAAGATGGACATGAAGTTCTATAGTGTATGAGATATAAACATGACAATTTAGGGAATGTGGACCCCTGGACTCCTTTCAGAACACCTTGATATAAGCAGACCATGCCTATACTCTGGAAAATAGGCAAGAATGTGTGATGAAAAAATCTTTGGTAGCAGAGGATGAATGGTTTTGTTGTGTCTATGTTTCACATTGGAGCACCTACAACATGCAAAACCCAGTGTGTCAGAGGCCACATTAAAATAGAATAAGTCAGAATAAAATAGAATGTTGAACTTTGGTAGCAGCTGTAAAGATATTATTCAGTGTCTCAAGCATAATCATTAACCAAAGGAAAACCTAATGTTAAAAATGGTTTGAACTTGAAGAACTGAGAGGATGTTTCTCAGCTCACTGTTTTAAAATGGCAAAAATGCTAGAAAACTAGGAGCTCTTGAAAGCAAGTACATTATCAAAAACTGATTTGACATTTAGAGAAGAAGATTGTGTTATGGTTGCTATTAATTATAATGATTATAAGAGGCAGCATGTATCAGGATAGGTGTTTACTCAGGGAAATAGAGGATTTAAAATAATGCTTTTGAATTAATCATAAATTAGGCATTACTGTGTACCATGCATGTAGGTGTTAGTGATGTAAAAATGAACCTGACATATTCTGTCCTAATGGAAATCATATGAAGTGTAGCATAATAACAGCTACAGCTGGCCTTTGTGTGGAAACTACACACAGTCTGCCTCATGTAATGTACACGGCAGTTTGTAGTGGTACAGGGAATATATCCCATCTCACAGCTGAGGAAGCCAAGTTCAGAAAGCCTCTATGTTAGGCACAGGGTTAGCAAGCAAGCCTTCTAATTCCTAATTATGTGTTTTCTTCACTATATGCAACTTTCTGGCCTGAAACTAATTTATATAGACACAAAATAGCAATCAATTAAAATGACTACATTATAAAAGAATTATTTTTATTACTACTTAACCAAAATGAAATGGATTCTCCTTCAAAGAAGCCTACTTCTCTAGGTTTCTGTTCCTACAGAGACATGATGAGGGAATATACAAGTGCCACCACATGGACTCTTTACTGCATGAGTGGCTCTTCTCTTTTTGCAGGGTGCTGAGACTGTTCAAGAGCTCTTGGAGGTAGCCAAAGACTCAATCCCCCGAAGTCATTGGAAAAGGACCCCAGTGGTTTTGAAGGCAACAGCAGGACTGCGCTTACTGCCAGAACAGAAAGCCCAGGCTCTGCTCTTTGAGGTAATATTTGAAATATCTGCATCTTGGATAATTCTTTCCCCCTATATTAACATTTTCTTTATGGGTTTAAAGCCCTCTGGCATGTTAACCTTCAGTATTCCACCATTGCTAAAGCATTGTGGTGAATTTGGGCTCTTTTGTAGCTAGTTATTTATATTTTAAAATATTACTCTTGAATTTATAGAGCTTTTCCTATAAAATTTAAAGCACTTTCTATCCATGATGTTCTTTTTTAAAAATATATCTTTATCAATTTTTCGAGAGGGGAAAAGAGCGAGAGAAACATTGATGTGAGAGCAAAACATAGATTGGCTGCCTCCTATATGCTCCCTACTGAGGATTGAGCCTACAACCTGGTCATGTGCCCTGACCAGGAATCAAACTGATGATCTTTTGATGCACTGGAAACCACCCAATTTAATGAGCCACACTGGCCATGATCATGATGCTCATAATTTTCTAAACTTATTACAGCAGAATTGTTTTTAATTAAATTAAATGAGGAGTAACTTACATACAATTAAATTTATCAATTTTAAGTATACAGTTAAATGAGTGTTGACAAATACATACACTCTTTGTGCCCCTTTGTAGTCAATTTCTCCCTTTAGTTAAACCAGGCAACCATGATTTGCTTTATGTCAGTATAGATTAGTTTTGCAAGTTCTTACATTTTTCTATAAATGGAGTCATACAGTTTATATTTCTTTTTTTTTGTGGGTCTTACTTTTTTCTCTCAGTATAAAGGTTTTGAGAAGAATCATGGAATTGTAAAGTATAAAAGATTTTTAAAGATATGTATTTTATTGTGCATTCAGATCAAAACTAAGTACAGAGAATTCTAAAAAAACTCTATTTTAAACATTATCGTACATTTTATTATATAAAAATGTGTAAATTAATAAGATTAATACTTAATATTGTGAAGAATACATGCAGAATCCCAAAAAATCACAGCAAAAAAATGATTCTATGTTTAGGTGTGTTAATTCAGTCTTATAAATCCACAAAAGGCCCAATGCACGAAATTCGTGCAAGGGGCTTGGCCCTCACAGCCCTGGCATTGTCCAGAAGGTTGTTTGGACGGACATTCTGCTGTTTGGCTGTCCAGTCGATTTGCATATTATACTCTTATTATTATAGATTCTCCTTTGATTGTAAGTACAGATGACTTAAGTCTCTTGCCCAAGGACAAACTGCCTGGAATGTCCTTATGAGAATCTGAATTCCAATTCATTCATTCATTTATCCATTCATTCACTCATTTTTTCATCATATGAGTGCTTTACTATGTACTGGGCACTGGTGAAGTAGACATAGAGCAGGAAACAAAAATAACACTGTCCCTGTCCTAATGGAACTCACATCCTAGTTTCCAAGACAAAATGAACAAGTCAATACAAAGTATGTCAGGTGCTTTAAAAGCTATGGCAAAAAAATAAAGCAGGGTAAGGCATATAGGAATGCTAGTGGTAGTGTTGGAGAAATGCTATTTTAAATAGGGTGGTCAGGGAAGACCTCATTGGTAAGATGCATTTGATCAGAGATCTGAATGGACTAAAGAAACAAGCTATGTAAAATATATGTGAATATAGAATATTCTTTGCCAGAGAAACAGGTGTAAAGACCTAAATCAGGAATGTGCTTGACATGTTCAAGGGACAGCATCCAGGATAGGGTGGCTGGAGGAGAGGGAATGATAGGACATCAAAGGCCATGTAAGGCCTTTTTCTCTAAGAAGGAAGCCACAGGAGGGTTTGAGCTAAGGAGAGACATAATCTGATGTCTGTTTTTAAAGCATCATTCTTGGCTGCTGTGTTGAGAATTAATTGTGAGCAGAGGCCTGGAGTGGAAAGGACAAGAGCACAAACTTTGTTTATTCCTGTTTGCTTATCTATCAATGATGAGAGAATCATCGTTTGGCTGCCTTCTGCACATCCCCTATTGGGGATCAAGCCTGCAACCCAGGCATATACCCTAGTCTGGAATTGAACTTGGGACCCTTCAGTCCCCAAGCCAATGCTCTATTCCCTGAGCCAAACCAGTTATGGCTTATCTATGTTCTTAAATGCTTGTTTATGGATCATTTAACTGGCATTTCCTGGTTGAAATAGGGTTCAGAGATCACTGCATGAAGTATTCTTTCAGAAATGAGAACAACCAAGACTAGAATTTTTCCTATCTCTATTTGGAGCCTCTCCCTCCCCAACATGATAATCATCTATAGTTTTAATAGGGTAATATACAAATTGGTCGGGACACCATCATGTAATGACCGATCAGCAGGAGGGCAGAGTTTCGAGCTATAAGCAGTGGGGAGCTGCAGGAGGGCAGGGTATCTAGCTACCTGCAGCAGAAAGCTACAGGAGGGCAGGGCATTGAGCTAAGTGTGGCAGAGAGCTACTAGTGGCGGTGGGCGGGGCGGCCAGCTGAGGCAAGTGGCAGTGAGCTTCTTGCACACAGATTCATGCGCAGGGCCACTAGTATAAAAATAAGACATAACACCCATATTATTGACCTATATTTATAGGGAGTCAAGAGCATTTGTGCAAGCTCTTCATTCTCATCTTCTAAAATAGAATAAGTAAATTTAGATTTGGGATCTCTCTAGACTCCTTTGAGGCCCCAGCCTTGTGCCAGGATTTGACAGGGGCTAGGAGAAGAGTACCTCACCTCAGCCCAGGAACATGAGCTCCTTTACCATGGAGGACAAAAACTACAAAATTTGATAGGAGAGCAGCAGAAACTTCATTGTAGTCTCAGGAGCCCCCCAGGCCCAACTCTTTTCTACTCTCCAAATTTATCTGCTCAGTAAGAAATGGAGTGGGCAGGGATCCCCCTAGCTTCCAGCACATATCCGGGTAGAATTAAACAGGTGTTTTAAAAAATTACAGGATCCTGATTTGAGCTGGCAAGGTCAAATGTATGTCCTTTCCTAGGTCCAGTTCACCTATAAGTAGATAATTTGGTTGGTTGCAGTTTATTTTAAATTCAAGGGGAACTCCTGTGTTTTCTTTTTATAATAAATCACTAATAACTTGCAGTTTCTTCTCTAGTTTTTTTTTTTTTTTTCCTTTTTAAAATATATTTTTACTGATTTCAGAAGGAGGAAGGGAGAAGAAAGGGATAGAAACATCAATGATGAGAGAATCATTGATGGGCTGCCTCCTGGGGATCCTATCAATGCATATGCCCAGTCTGCAGGGTGGATCCCAGCAGGCCCCCTACTGGGGATCCAGCCTGCAGACTGGGCATATGCCCTGACTTCCTGGTTCTTACGTCCATGCTCAACCACTGAGTCACACCACTGGGCCTTCTCTAGTTTCTTTAGAGAAAATTAATGAGTTCTAAGATTTTATTTAGGGAAAATGAAGAGAGTAGTTTTCTAAGCTTTTTAGGATATAGCCAAAATATGGAAATTGATTTCATTGCCTTAGGGAATTCAAATATTGTTGTTTTTTTCTCCAGGTAAAAGAGATCTTTGAGAAGTCACCTTTCCTGGTACCAGTTGACAGTGTTAGCATCATGGATGGATCCCATGAAGGTGGAGAGGTGTTGATATATATTCTAGAGGGAAAGGGCCAGGGTTAATAAAAGATCTGATTAAAGGACTGTGAACAGGATGGGGGTGCTGAAGAAAAAGGAACTAAGGAGAAACAAATAAGCATGGAGGAATGGAATGGCAGGATGGGGAGAAGGGAAGTGTGTGCTTTAGACATGAACTTTAGAGAGAAAAGAGAACAGAGATGGGGCCAGAGAAGAGGGAAAGTGCTCTGTAATGTAATCCTTGTCTCTCTGTCTTTTTTAGGCATATTAGCTTGGATTACTGTGAATTTTCTGACAGGTAATACATTCTCAAGTGTATCTTAAGATTTTGACTGGGTTTCACACAGGGTCAGAGTGCAAAATTACCTCTCTTTTTTCCTGTATTGTTCTTTCCTTTTGTAAAAAGGAGGAAAGGAAAGACAGGATTTGGTGTTTATAACCTGCCTTCAAGTCTTCAGTTGCAGCCAGAGTCCTAGGTTAACATTTGCTGTAATCCATGGGAGCAGGGAACAATGAAGTGTTTATGGAATTCCCTCAGAGCAGGAAAGAAATTGCAGACCGAGGAGTATTGGGCTGTCCAGGAGCAGAACATTTTCAAACTGGCTCTCATCCACAGGTCAGCTGCATGGCTACAGTCAGGAGACTGTGGGGATCCTGGATCTGGGGGGAGCCTCCACCCAAATCACATTTCTACCCCAGTTTCAGGTGAGTCATTACCATGAAGGTTTGGTTAGCAACTCACTTGGCAGGCATATCAGAGTGCTAGGAAAGTGGTGCCCTATTTTTAGGTAGCAGCTCCACTACAAATAGGATGAGTAAATTATAACTGAGTGAACTTTTCTTTGTCACTGTTCAGAGTCTCTTTGCTTCCTCAAGCCATATGAGATTAGCAGTTTAATCTGTCTCCTTCATCTCTTGTTTCCTGGGGGAGGGATGGGATGGTAGTGATAACATCCTTAGAATAATCGCAGATTCTGAATAGCCTTTTTGCTTTTTCTAATTTGCAGAAAACCCTGGAACAAACCCCTAGAGGCTACCTCACTTCCTTTGAGATGTTTAACAGAACTTATAGGCTCTATACACATAGGTGAGGAGGGGAATAGGGAGGAATAATATTTCATGTAATATGAGCCTTGTAACTATTTTTAAAATATTTTTTTATTGATTACAGAGAGGAAGGGAGAGGGAGAGAGAGAAACATCAATGATGAGAGAGAATCATTGATTGGCTGCCTCCTGCACGACTCCCACTGGGGATTGAGTTTACAACCCAGGCACATGCCCTGACTGGGAATCGAACTGTGACCTCGTTTGGTTTATAGGTGTACACTCATCCACTGAGTTATGCCAGCCGGGCAAGTCTTCTAACTTCTTAAAACATTTTCACATCTATTAATTGCATCTGACAAGCCTTACATAGTCTTTACCAGTCCCTGAAGGCCTATTATCTGAAACTCAACCCACTTACCAAATGCCAAGGAAAGCATGTCAAACTCATGGGTTTGACATGCTTGTACTAAGGGATCCAAAGATTTATCCATTCTTGGCTTCCAACATATATGACTTAAAAGAGTCAAAAGTTTTCTCTATAAAGAGGACACTCAGTAAAAGTTCAGCCAAAGCTCTGTGCCAATGCCATTGAGTTTGCCTTCAGATGTTCAAAATCCAGCCTAGGATTTGATCACAGTGAGTCTGGGAGTTAAGATGAGAGCTTTTCTGGGGGTGGTTCCCAGGGTGGGACCCTAGGCAGCATCACTATTCTGGCCTTTAAGTCATAGCTGTGGAAAGTAGTTACTGCAGGGCAATTACCACTTAGCCACACTAGTTGAATAGGTCACGGAGGAACCATGTTACTTTTAAAAGAGATAGTTTTAGGCTGGAGGACTTCAGGACCAGCAGTCAATCCTGTATTTTACAGTTACTTGGGATTTGGATTGAAAGCTGCAAGACTAGCAACTCTGGGAGCCCTGGAAACAGAAGGTTCGTCTGGGTACCTGTGCTGTTTGGGGGATGGTGAGAGTGAACCTTGGGAATTCCTTGGGAATGAGTCTGGAGGAAAGAGTTATTCTGAATTAGGAAGCACCTATAAATATATAAGCCTAAGCGACCGGTTGATTATTCACCAGTAGCTATGATGTGCACTGACCACCAGGAGATAGATGCTCAGCACACAGGTATGAAAACATGGAACAGAATGATGAATCTCAAAGGAAAGGGGTGAGGGGAAGGGCGGGAAGAGATTAACCAAAGATCTTATATGCATACTAGAGGCCTGGTGCATGGATTTGGCGTACAGATTCTTGCACTGGTGGGGGTCACTTGGCCTGGCCTGTGGGGATCAGGCTGAAACCAGCCCGGTGCACGGTATCCTGCACAAATGGGGCCCTTCGGCCTGGCCTGTGGGGATCAGGTCGAAACTGGCAGTCCATCATCCCCAGTGGCCAGGCCACTAATGCACAAATTCTTATGCCAGGCCTCTAGAATGTTATACAATGGACATAATGGCAAATTCTTTTTTTCCTTTGAGTTCAGATAAGTTTTGGTATGCATTATTAGTCATTTCTAGAATAAGGTCTGTTTGTATGGGGCAACAGCCTGTGGCCAGGAGGCTGAAGTATCTGCAGAAATTCAAGGCTCACAGAATGAATTTGGTAGGGGCTTGCTCAAGCCCTTGGCTTTACATGGGAGATGGAGATGAAAAAAAAAATTAAAAAAAAAAAATCCACTTGCAGGGTGGAATAGCTGAGCAACTCCATTCACCTCTTCACAGGTGGTAGAGGGTTAAAAGCTCAGCTTTTTTTTTGCTTTTTTTTTTTTCTTTTTTCCCCTTAAACTGATTCTTTTTCTTTGCATGTTTTTATTGATTTTTTAGAGGAAAGGAGAGGGAGAGAGAGAGAAACATCAACATTGATTGCCCCCCTGTTGGGAATCAAGCCCACAACCTGGACATGTGCCCTGACCAGGAATCAAACAAGCGACCTCTTTGGTGCACGAGTTGATGCTCAACCACTGAGCCTCACAGGCTAGGCAAGAGCTCAGCTTTTGTGGTCAGATAGAATTGGGTTCAGTTTTGTGATTTGGGGCAAGTTAGCTACCTTTCTGTGTCCCTTTCCTCACCTTAAGTAAGATTTTGCATTTAAAACACTTTGTATTTGCAATAATAGCCAGTAAGCTATTATTGTGATGATGATTGTTTAGCATTTAAGTTTATAAATGTGTTTCATTTAAGCCTCACAACAACCAATGAGAAAAGTAGAACAGTATTTTCTCCCGCTTTTTAGAAAGGAGGAAACGTAGTCCATTGTAGGTTTGGGATTTCTCTCGGATGTGATGAAAGCCATGGTTCCCTCCACCAAATGCACGTATGACAGAAATGTGCTCATAGTTTTAGGGACTTCACCAACACCATGAAGCCCATCTATGAACCCTGTTAAAAATTCCTGTCCTAGGATGTAATCATGGAACTAATTTAATATGATTTGAAGGCCCAGCCACCTTGGTGATTACTTTCCACCTTAGTGGCTTCTTGCTTGCCTCCCTCTCTCATCCTTGCCTCTTACTTTGTGGTCTGGTGTTTTTCTTTCAGGGACTGAGGGACATACTTTTAGAAGTGCCTGTCTACCAAGATGGTTAGAAGCAGAGTGGATTTTTGGGGGCGTGAAATACCAGTATGGCGGCATCCAAGAAGGCAAGTGATTTTTTTTTTCACTGGTTGAAATTATTTTTACAGTAGAAGTCTGGAGAAGTTCTAGAAACTTTTTAGAGAGCCCAAGAGAAACTTGTCATATTGCCGAGACTCGTTGCAAAGAGATCTTGGTGTGCCTCTAAGAAACAGTGGGAAGTGACAATGAATAGCCGTCACTCTGTATCCTGTTCTTTCCCTGGCCCGGTGTTGTGGATCCATTATACCTGGGGTCTCTGCCCTCCGCAGGATGAAACTTAAAATTGAGATGATAGGGAGAATAATTCACTTTAAGTTTTTTTTTGTTTTTTTTTAAATATATTTTATTGATTTTTTACAGAGAGGAAGAGAGAGGGATAGAGAGTTAGAAACATCGATGAGAGAGAATCATCGACCAGCTGCCTCTTGCACACCCCCTACTGGGGATGCACCCGCAACCAACGTACATGCCCTTGACCGGAATCGAACCCGGGACCCTTCAGTCCACAGACCGACGCTCTACCACTGAGCCAAACCAGTTTCGGCTCACTTTAAGTTTTATAAAAGGCACAGACCTTGAAATCAAGAAAGAACTTGATTTTTCTAGTAAAGGAAGCAGGCAAGCCTTCTAGCTACTTCTCATAAGCACTATGAAACGTAGTGTGAGGCTCTAGGCTGATTAGGCTGTTTTTGATGAGCACAAGTTAGGGAGGGGAGCTGCATAGAGAAGCAGGTGCCTTTCCTCCAGACCAGCAAGGCTGTGGAAGTTTGCTCATCTCTGTAAGCCTTTTGTCCTGAGCCTCGGCGTTCCTTGTTTCCTCCTCCTGTCTCCTCGTTGGCTCCGGTAGCTTGCCTCAGAGAGTGGTCCCTTCCCCTATCATTTTTCTCACCGTGTCCCTCTGCACTTTGCCCTGGCAGGGGAAGTGGGCTTCAAGCCCTGCTATGCTGAAGTGCTGAGGGTGGTCCAAGGAAAACTTCACCAGCCAGATGAGATCCAGAGGAGCTCCTTCTATGCTTTCTCTTATTACTACGATCGAGCTGTTGACACGCACATGATTGGTAAGTTCACTCCAGGTGTCAGGTCAGGGAGGACATTGGGCAAGGCTCTGGTGGGAAAGGGAGAGGGATTGTCTGAAATGCGTGGTCGGAGGTGATCATCCTATTCTTCTTCAGTGCTGTATGTCAACCATATTTTAATAAAAAATAAAGTATGTGCATTTTACTTTATGTCGTTTATACCTCAATAAAAAAAGTAAAAAAGACTTCACGTAAAAATTTAAGGCCACTAGTAACTAGTGACACTAGTGACTCAAATTGAAGGGGGCATATGATTGAGAATCTTTTAGAGCTAGAAAATGGCCTTAAATTTTTACGTGAAGTCTTTTTTATTTTTTTATTGAGTTATAAATGACATAAAATAAAATGCACATACTTTATTTTTATTAAAATATGGTTGGCATACAGTATTAGTTTCAGGTGTACAAAATATTGATTCAACATTTATTTATCTTACAAAGTGACCTCACTGTAAGTCTAGTAACCATCTGTCACCGTACAAAGTGGTTTTTTTTGTTGTTGTTTTTAACAATTTTCTTTTTTTTCTCTCATTATTGCTCAGTTTTTATTTTTTTATTTTTTTTTTAAATCAATCTTTATTGTTCATATTATTACAAAGGTTCCTCATTTCTTCCCTTCTCCACCAGGTTCTCACCCCACCCTCCGCCCCCTCCCCACCCCCCATTGTCCTCATCCATAGGTGCACAGTTTATGTTCAGTCTCTTCCCCCCTTCCCGTACAAAGTTTTTACAATATTGTTGACTATATTCCCTGTGTTGTACATTACATTGCTGGATCTATTTATTTTATACTGGAAGTTGGTGCCTTTTGGACCCTGTACCTTTTTTGCCCATCCTTCCACCCCTCTCCCCTCTGGCAACTATCAGTTTATTCTTTATATTTGTGAGTCCGTTTCGTTTTGTTTTTTTGTTTTTAGAGTCCACATATAAGTGATATCATATAGTTTTTGCCCACTGACTTATTTCATTTGGCATAAAATGAACCTATTTTAAAATGTAGAGGTAGTTCACGCTGATGATTGGGTGTTCACGCTGTTTTGTGAGATGTGCCTCTCTCAAACCTTGTTACATCAGCACATTACCTGAGTGATTTGGGGGGAAAAGTGTGTATTTTACTAATTTTGACATATGTATATATCCATAAAACCATTACCAAATTCAATATTTAAAACCATATATATTACCCTAAAGTTTCCTCCTCCCTCTTTATAACTTTTTTTTTTTTATCACAGTAGTAATGTTTTTATTTAGCTATGATGTATGTATATAGTCTGTCATGGCCCGAGATATGAATTTCTATTTTGTAACATGTTTTTGTAAATGAATCAAAATTTTTATTGTGGTTAAATACATATAACATAAAATAGATTATAAAAAACAGAATGCATAGATTATTTTGTATGAATATCGTGTTTATTTAATCCATTCCCTAATGTTGGGAATTTTATTTCCTTTTTTCTTTATTATAAATCTCACTAGGATGAATTTTCTTATGTTTCTTTGATATTTTTTAACATCAGCTACTCTTTTGCTTCATTTCAGATTATGAAAAGGGGGGTATTTTAAAAGTTGAAGACTTTGAAAGAAAAGCAAAGGAAGGTAAGTGTCAGTGGCAGCCCTTAGAGGTGAGTGTGTGAGACTGTACAAAGTTCAGTGACATTAACGTGTCCCAAAGTTCACAGCCAGCAGAAAGCCTCTCGGAGGCTGGTTTCCTGTCTTTGCCAGGAGCTTAAAGCATTAAGTGGCATCGAAAAATAAGGGAATAGAAGAGGTTTTAGGAAAATGGTGAAAACCTGCTTTTCTACATTTAGTGTTGTTTTTTTAGTTGAAATAGTGTTATCAGTGCTAATGAAACACCAAGCACCAAAATACATGGGAAATAGTCACAGCGGTTTCCTGGAAAGAGTCCATTGAAAACATAAATAAATAATCTTATTCATTGTCCCCAAAGTAATGCTAATTGGTATTTCCCTGTCCTCAGGGCCTCAGCATTAATAATATGTAAGGGATGTGGTTGAATTAAGCCCAAAGAATAGACATAGAAATTTAGCAAATAAATGAGGGTCCCTGTAAACTGAGTACCGTAGATAAGATATCACATCAGAAATATGCAGGTTCTTAAGACGCTGCAGTCTTGTAGAACTATCAGTGCACAGTTCTAGCCTCTAAGACTCCTAGGCATCAGCCAAATAGAGAATTCTGCTTTGCTTATTCCAAGTCTATATTTAGAGAAAATCACACACCTCTCAGTTGGCTGCAAACTTGAATTCCACTCTTTACTCTCTCTCCCCTTCAGTGTGTGACAACTTGGAAAATTTCACCTCAGGCAGTCCTTTCCTGTGCATGGATCTCAGCTACATCACAGCCTTGTTGAAGGATGGCTTTGGCTTTGCAGACAGCACCGTCTTACAGGCAAGAGAAAGAGCAGAGGAGTCTCATAACAGACTTCTTCTCTGGGAGTTGGGAAGAGCACTATAGGTGGGATTATGAGGATTTTTATTCGGGCTGTGGACAAGCACTGTGCAAGGCACTATGAGTGTGGGAAATTACCTCAATGCAAAGGCAGTTCCTAAGTATGTTACCAGGAAAGCTGTCCTAGAGGTCACAGAGCAGAAGGCGTACAATCCAAATGAAGATGCCCAGGCCCCGTGGTTTATTAAATCAGTTTCGAAACTCAGGACGAGAAGCAACAGGAAAGAAATGGGACAGGTGAACACACAGTGTAGGGTGCAAGCAGGTTGGAATTGCCACACTTCATGAATTTTGGGTATGTATATCCTAATTCCCTCTGCTGCTGCTGACAGTGTGGTTGGTTGCAAGTACTAGAACTGAAGTTTAATCAAGGGGGCACAAAGACAGAGGTGCCTGGTGCCATTGCACAAATTTCCACTATTTGGAGAGGCATAGAGGCAAGTACATTATCTGGCAACATTAGCCCACTCAGCCCATTAGATGGTCTTATTTGGCAGAGGACATGAGGGACCAAAAGGGTGCCACTAACAAGTGGCTTAAGACCTCATGAATGTTGAATACCTGTGTATATGTAGTATGTCATATATATGTGATATGTGCCTTGTATATTTAGTGTCTCTTGAATCTTGGGTTCTTCTTTATCTTCCTATCTCTGTCCAGGCAGGCTCAACATTGGAGTAACTTATTTATTTGTTTTAAATACATCTTATATCTTTCATCCATCCCATTTTCTTGTTTTCAGTACAATAATTGAATAAGTGCACATATGTTTATGTCAATGAAAGAATGTCCAGTATTAGAAAAAGTCTTATAAGAGTTTATTTGAGCCAAAATGACAACCATTGCTAGAAAGCAAAATCTCAGTAGATTGGGAAAATGCTCCAGAGAATGGCAGTTTGCAGTTTATTTTATACACTAGAGGCCTGGTGTACAAAATGTATGCACGGAGGTGGGGTTTCTCAGCCTGGCCTGCACCCTCTCCAATATGGGACCCCTCGGGAGATGTCTGACTGCTGTCATTCAGACATTCCTCTCACAATTCGGTAAGACTGGCTCCTAACCACTCGCCTGCCTGCCTGCCTGCCTAATTGCCCCTAACCACTCTGCCTGCCAGTCTGATTGCCCCTTCTTTGCCCCCTACTGGCCTTGCTGACTTGATCTCACCACCAACTGTTCTTCTCTGCCAGCCTGATCTTGCCCTCAACTGCCCTCCCCTGCAGGCCTGATCTCACTCCCAACTGTCCTCTCCTGCAGGCCTGGTCACCCCCCACTGCCCTCCCCTTCTGGCCTGATCTCATCGCCAACTGCCCTCCCCTGCTGGCCTGATCACCCCTATCTGCCTCTGCCTTGGCCTCCAACACCATGGCTTTGTCTAGAAGGAAGTCAGATGTCTGGAAGATGGCTGGTCGACCTGGTCTAATTAGCATATTACACTTTTATTAGTATAGATAGATTATATAGGATAGGATTGCTTAAATGCTGGGGAAAGGCCTTTTTCAGCAGGAGATGCTCTTGGCAGACAAAAACACATAATCCCTATATCTGGACTGATAGCCAGCCATATACACTATACTGCCAAATAGGTCATTTAAAAATTGAATCACTTTCTTACACCTTACACCAAACAGCTATTGCCCTTAAAACCCCTCCTCAGCCCTCACCTTAGATTCTGCTTTCTAAGTTCACCCACGGTTCTGATTGGTAGGTCGGTTTCTATGCCACTTAGTGTCAAAATCTCCACCTCCTAGGCAGCCATTGGCTCCTTGCACTTCACCCAGATTTGGTTATGATTGATCGGTTTCTATGCCAGTCAGCATCTCTGGGCCTATCTCCGGGCTTGATCATAGAAGTGGGGCTGAACAGCAGCCGCCCCAGGCTGCTGGCAGCAGGCTAAACTGCTAACATCTGGGAGAGAGAGACTTGGCTGCCGGTGAGGCCCAGAGAGAGAAGCAGGTTGATCAGAGAAGCTGCCACTGCTGATCAGCCCCGCCTCTCTCTTTCCGAGAGGGCAGCAGTTCAGCCTGCTCGCCTGCTGTTCACGCAGTCTGACGTTTGGTTGAGCCTCCAGTCGTTGTGGATGTTACAACCCTGGGTCTTTGTATATATAGGTTAGAATCAAAGGAGGAGATATAAGGGGGTTACATGAAATCTATTTGGTGATAGATTAGGGAGGTGGGAGAAAGCAAAGTGGAGAAATCTCTGAGATTAGATAAAAGTAAAACACAGAGATGCATCTTACACATCGGTGGGTACAAGTATTTACGGTACAACGAATGGCATGTGGGCAACAAGACAGCAGTGTGGTCTCGTGCTCTGGTGTGGGTGGTTGTGCCTTCCAGGGGTCTGGGAAATAAAATTACCTGACATTTCAAAGGTTTGTTATCTTAGATGCACAAAGAAAATAGACGATTTCAAAGGTAAAGGTTGACCTTTCTCAAGGAACCTACAGGCCTAGGACATGACTATCCACCATGACTCACTTTTAGTTAGGATTTTTAACGTTCAGACCACCTTGAACTTGTCAGGTTTACTCTGTGACCCTTTGTCATCCACAGTTACAAGGGTGAGTAAGATGTAATCTTTGTCCTCAGATATGTAGTCTATTAAAGGAGATGACACAAGGCAGCTATGAACTTTGGGGTCAAGTAAGTAGGCTACTCTTTTTGAGCCTCCTCCCCTCGCCTTGCGCCATTTCCCCTTCCTGTTTCATCAGTGCCGGATGAGTTTCTATAACCCAATTTGTTGGGTTATACAGATGTCATAAACTCATTCGTACTAAGGTACTTGGACTTAATGTATTTTGCCTGCCAAGAACATCAACATTTAACGGGCTTAGGACAGGAGAGTTACTTGACAATAGATTAGTATCATGGTCTTTAAAGCATGGGCTTTGTTGTCCATCAGATCTGGACTCAAGTTCTGATTCTGCAAGTTTTCTGGCTCTGTGACCTTAGATGATTTACTTCCTCTCTAACTTTTAGATTCCTCACCCAACCTTTGAGTTCCTATTTTATAGGACTGTTATGAAAATTGAAATAATGCCTGTTAAGCACATTACCTGGCACATAGTATAAGTTATTAGTATTGATGTTGCTAGTAGTTGAGATTTGTGGATTAGAGAGGTCATTCTAAGCCCTTAGTACATAGTACTGAGTTAATATCATTCTCTAAGCATCAACTATAACCAAATCATTTAAGGACAAGTTTCTGCCATTTCCAGTGCTGGCATCCTTTTGCTCTTTGATTTCAGTGGCAACAAAATTTAAATCGGGTGCACAGTCCTGCCTGAGCTAGCTTCACTTCAGCATCTGTATCTTTAGGCTGTCAGCCCAGTCCTCAGAACAGGGGAGAGCATTTTATTGGGGGACACTCCCCGTTTGACTCAGCTAATCTCAGACAAAACCTCAAGATTCACACGCCATTCTCCCAGAATTTGGCCCAGTGACTAGATTGGATTTCCTTAGGTCAACAAAGTATTGTGTCATAAAACTGAGTACTAGAAAGACAGACTAAAACCAATCCACTGGTTTCCAAACGTGTGTGTGTGTGTGTGTGTGTGTGTGTGTGTGTGTGTCTGTGTCTGTGGTGGTCTTCACTTAACAAAAGCTTATGCAGAATGCCAGTAACACTGGTATGTGGAGCATCTGGTTGAAGCAGAGGTACAGGACTCCTTCACCATGTGGCCCCCTTTCTCTCTGAAGCGCTCTCAGAACCCTGGGGATTCTGAAGAAAACAGTTTGATAAATACTAACTAAATCCCTTTTAGTAGTTGAAAAAATAGGGTCTAACTTGGAGTCATGAACGAATTGAGGCTCATCCCGGCCTAGAACGCCTTAAAAACTTTAGGTGGTTAATAGTGCTTAAGAAGATGCAGTTACTTACAAAATATGAGTGGGGAAGCTTATTAGTATGTGCTTTCATACCTCTAAATCTATCCCGAACTGCTGTTGTATTTAATTTCAGGATTAGGGAAAGAGTCCCAAAGGTCCTGTCTGGAAAGCCCGGGTGAGACCACTTTGCTCGGCCAGAAGATTCAGGGATCAGCTTGGCAGGGGATGGTAATAGGCCACGGCAGGGAGGAAACGTGCAGAAATGGGTTGTGGGGAGGCCTCCAGACTGGCTACTTCCCATTCGCCTTGGTTTGGCTTTGTGGATGACCTTGGCCCAGGTCGTGCTTGCTAAAGTTGAAAACTGAATGAAAATGTGAAGGCCTTTTTTCTCCTCCCCAACAGCTCACAAAGAAAGTGAACAACATAGAGACAGGCTGGGCCTTGGGAGCCACCTTTCACTTGCTGCAGTCTCTGGACATCTCCCACTGAGGCCACACTCGCCCTCTGAGGTCTGCATTTGCCAACAACCTTTATACGGGAGAAGAAGAAAAGACTCGGTCATGTTATGAGGAAGTCTGGACACCACCTGGATTGAAACCCAGCAGCTGGCTTCATCAGGAGGAAGAGGTTTTTGTAGACAGCTCTTGTCCTTATGTCTAGAGATTTGGGTTTAATTTTACACATCTAATAGGAACTGGTCCCTAACCATACTGCTTGCACAGCTGGTACTAGAGTCTAAATTTTTTAGCATGCTTGTGTGTCACAGAGAGCCAAAAGGAATAACTTTGGAACTTAACCAAAGAAAAATCTCCTTCAACCCGTTGGTATATTTTTCCTCCCTGCACATTACCTTGTCCCACCCTTATCATACCCTCCCACCTCCCTAAAAAACAGGGGAAAGAAAACAGTACCTGGTTTTGTAATTCAAGAGGAAAGAAAGGTACCATCTCTGAAGTTGTGTGGTTCTGCTTTGTGCTCGCTCCCATCAGCCAGCTGAGAACCGTCCTCTTAGCAGGAGGGAGAGCAACGCCTACTGCATAGCCTTCAGAAAAGGGGCCTTCCAGTCTCCAAGGACAAGTTTTGGGAGAGTGTGGCTGCCTTGTATAGGCCACATTCTTTTAATCAACTTTTTATGTCAACCGTGAGATTAATGAATCTGAACACCTTCTAGGAATGTTTATTCAGTGCCGGTACTTCCTTCTAGGCTCTGTTTAGTTTGTCATCCTAAAGTTACTTCTTTATATTTCTGAGAAGCACATCCCTATCCTACTATTGGAGGATCTAGATTTTGGCCATAGCTCCTTTCAGTTTGCCCTTTTGTTCTGTTTATAGTAACGTCTCCTCCTACTTGGCCCCTGATCATTTTAGCTACCATCTCCTAAATTGTCTAGTTCCAGGGTTTCTGATACCCTTCTCCATTATAAGCAATATTTTATTTCATTGGCCATTTTGGCCCTCATACTGTGGATTTTTTTGTGTTGGAATGCTCTGAGCCCTTCATTATCTTGTTCTTTCCCATAGGACTATCGCCTGCTTCTTGTCGGCCCACTCAGTGCCCTTGGGCTGAAGGACTGGCTCTTTGACCTTGGCTCTTTACCTCCAGCTTCTTTCTAGCAGTTTGTATCTTCCACACTTGTAGCTATCACAGTGGACTTTCTTTCGGCTCTCTCACAAAAAAATGTTAAGCTCCTGTCCCTCACACTACTTCCTTTTTTAAAGTTATTCCACTGAGTCAATAAGTGGTTAACATCCGATGTGCAAGTAACTAGCCAATTTTTTTCTTTATTCCCCACATTTTAGTGTGTGTGGTTTTTTGTGTTTTTTTTTAATTTCATTGTGGAATTTTTTCAGATTTTTCACACTGACTTTTATTATACCAAGGTCGCCTTGATACCCATCGTCTTCCTCCAAAATGTTAATACATAATAGAATCTTTAGGTTTGGAAACAGCCCAAAGATGTAATCCAGTCTTCTAACTTGCAGAATCCCCTTAACATTTCTAAGTAGCTGTATTTTGCTTCTGGTTATGCATGTTTTAAGACAGCTCATTGCATTTGGGACAGCACTGATGTTAAAAATCCCTTATGTGGAGCTGCAGTCTCTCCTCTCAGTGGTCTTCTCTCGTTCCTCCTTCCATAGCCTCTCCATCTCCTAAAGGAAATTCCTTGCAAGTCCTTTGTGGTCTCTTCTTTAATAGGACACTTGGCTTCTAGACCCCTTACCATTGTGTCACACAGTCATACACTAAATGTTGTTCCATACAATTCCCAAGAGGTAAGCTGTGTTCACTAAAGACTCCGCCAGTTTGATGGTCGAGAGAGGCAAGATTCCCTGGTCTTTGTCATAGCTTGTCTCTGAAGATTTTCTTATGGACAGAAGCTGTTCAGACTCCTTCAGTCATCCCAAGTACCTCCAGAACTCTTGAGATGTGTCTACCTAAATTCTGATAATCTTGATTAGAACATCTAGAGAGAATTAACAAGTTTATCCATGTTAGGAGCAATATGGAATAAGAATTTTTATTTCTTAGAAAAAAATTGACTTTCTGCCCCTTGGTGTACCTTTTGGGCTTCTTATTGAGGAATCCTATAGTGTCTAATATTGTTGGTTAAGTTTCTTTTCTATAAATGTGTTTACATATTTCAAATACTTAGGACCTGACCTGGCACATAGTGGATGTTGTGCGTTAACATCATCATATGAGGAACATCCTCTGTGGGTTACGGAGGGCTTTGCAAGATGTGCCTTAAAATTCTTCCCATTTTGCCTGATTTTATTTGCATACTTTTGGAGTCCATGTTCTCCTTTCCCGGGCTACCTTTCCCGTTTTTGTGAAAGATGATCTTTTCCCCTCCCGTTCAGTGTTGATCTTTCTAGACTCTGCTAGTAGTCTTACAACTTACACATTAGTTGCCACTTTCATTCTGGGCACATCTTTCCAGAGAGTCCAGGAACATTTGTGAAACTATCACTTTTTACTCTAGTATCTTATAAATCTTGTACATTTGTCTGAAAAGCTCCCCTATTAAAACATATTTTTCATTCCTTCAATAACTAAGCTAACCTAAACTAAGAATAGTTTAGGTTGGTTCAAAAGCAGACTATTTCTTCTCATTTCATCATCAAATCAGACTTTTGGGCAAAATTTTCTCTGCAGTATACAAATCTAATGGGTTCCCAAATCTCTTCAAGAGTCATCTCTGTACTGCGAAGTGAGCTCTTCAAACACCCACTTCAAAGACCCCTACACCCATCAGCCACCAGTCTGCAACCAAATATGACAAAGTCTGCTGCTAAGTAATCAGATTATCCCTTTGACCTGGCTCCTGAAGTTTTCAAACCTGTGCAATGAAACTATTTATTGTTTTGTCACTGGACAGAAATGATGTTCCAGAGAGGAACCATAAATAAAATGGAAATCCGATGCTGTGATAAGGAAGTAATAATGAACAAGATTTTGTTTTCTTTTTAGAAAGTCCAGTGCACCTACAACAAAGGTTAAAGCAATTTATTTTTAATTTTAAAACAGTAATTTGAACAAAAATGCATCAATTGAATATTTCTAATTCTTCTTTATCAAAAGATAATTGTATAAATTTATGACCAGCATTTAAAAAAAAACCAAACCTATAGATCTTATCTTTAGAAAGGATCGTTAACAAGTGAAAATAAATGAGATAGCACCTTAATGATTTGTTTTAGTAATAAAAAATTCTTTTCAACAAAAATCATAATAGTCTTCCTTTTGGGTTTTTCTTGGCTTGGTTTATATACCCCTTCTCACAGCAAGTTATCACTCATTGTTTAGGTTCCACGAACCTCTTAAATAAAGGAGAAAAATAAAGTAGAGAGTGTTAACACAAAGTCAATTTATTAAATTAAATCTTGAAACTGTATGATGGCCTTGGGAAAAGATGTTTATTTTTCTTCAATATAATCTGCAGAAGAGGACATTCATTTGCTTGCAAAGGCCATAATCTGTTCCTAAAGAGAAATGAAACAAAGTGAGTGATTCTCTGAAACTGTGAGGGCGGGTGAAGAAAATGCTTTCAAGTATCCAAAGTGATTGAAGCAAAAACTCAGCTAAAGTCCCAGATAGACACTCTTCACAAGAGTCCCTCCAAAGTGCCTTTAAATGGGCATTGCTCAGTAGAAAAAGCTGACCAAGCAGCAAAAGGAGCTGAAGCATCTTTATCTTTGGAAGCCCCTATTTGCTACTTTAACCCTTCCTTATACTGTATTGAATTTCTACCTAGATAGCCCTAGCACCCAAGCCTAGCACGGTTTTTTTTGCTCATTATCACTGGGGAAGATTAAAAGGGTGATTTTACAGCCAAGAAAATTAATTCAAATGAACTAAATCATTGGCAAGTCACTCCTCGGTGACCAAGACTCTTCAGAGAGCCGTGAGCGACCTCTTACTTTGAGTGGAGACACTGCGTTTGTGGCCTGCAAGCCCCACGTCCTGAGCAGCACGAGAGGGGTAGCACTGGTGGAGTAGAGCCTTTTCAGCAGGTCAGTAGCAGCCAGGAGGGCAGTGTTGTGACGTTGTCGGTCTGTCTCATAGCCTGTGAGGTGGCTCATGGAGCCTGGAGGAAAAAGGAAAGTTATGCCCTAATCCCATAGTGACGTTTTCTTTCCTAGAAAAGCACACACACTTATGTCCACCACATCTGGCTACTGAGGCGCCTTCAGGGTCCTGATTGTCCCTAAGGTTCCAGAATCCTTACCTAAGTCTTTCCCATCGAAGGCTGCAGTTCTGAGGTGATGGACCAAGCTGGAGATATCCCCAAAGCCCATGTTAACACCTTGTCCTGCCAGGGGATGGACTCTGTGGGCTGCATCCCTGCAGACGAAGCAGAGTTGAGGTGTGGCCTCCAGCAGCACAGTGAGAAGGGAGGAGCTCTGCTCGCCGTTACCTTACCCGATGAGTGCCAGCCGAGGCCGGACGTACTCGGCAGCATGTCCCAAACCGAGAGGAAACAGCACTCGGCTTTTGGCATCCACCGTGGCTACGCTTGGCGGCAGCTGGCGAGCTGAGACCTTAGTGGGCTTCAGAAAGGCAACAGCCTGGTGCAGCACGGTGCTGGCCGAGTCAACAAAGTCTGTGTGGTTAGCATCACTCCACTGAGAAGCATCAGCCACAAAACAAAAGTGGAATTTCATCAGTGACTAGCAGGGAATTAAAAATTCAAGAAGGAAACTTATAACAAAAGCCAAGGGCAATGGTACCTAACATGCCTAAAACAATCTAGACCCCAAGTGACAAGTCCCTCCAATAAAGGTAAAACAGATTCCAGGTTGTAGGATCAAGCCAAATTGCTCAGCTGCCCCTGCCTACCTCTGACCTTGATCTTTTACTAGTCCCTAACTTCAATAACCTGCACCAGCCACACTAGCTCATTCTACAACATCCTCTTGCTTCTGACACTCCCCTCTGCTTAGAATGTCCTCCCACTGAGACTTCACCAGGACCTCACCTCAGAGCACCCTGAGGCTGTCAGCTCTTTTTATAAACGTTTCTCCAAACTCACCTGTGTGTGCTCACCTCTATGCTCCCAGAGCATCCTATGCATACTTCTACCACTGTTCTGAAATTGTCACTTATGTACCTTTCTCCTCACGTAACTATGAGCTGCCTAAAAGCAGGGACTGTGTCTCATTTGTCTATCACCAGACCCTTCTACATAGAAGGCGCTTGTAATTATCTATATAATAAAAGCCTAAGCAACTGTTACAGCAGAACAACTGAATGACCAATTGTTATGATGCGCTTTGACCACCAGGGGGCAGATGGTCAACTCAGGAGCTGCCTCCTGTGGTCAGTGCTCTCCCACAGCAGGAGCACTGCTCAACCAGAAGCCAGGGTCATGGCTGGCGAGCACAGCAGTGGTGGTGAGAGCCTCTCCTGCCTCCATGGCAGCACTTCGGAGCAGCAAGCCAAGTGGTAAGAAGCAGTGAGCAAGTGGGTGACAAGGAGTCAGAGGTCCCGCACTACAAGAGGGTGCAGGCCAGGCTGAGGGGGGAGGACCCCCCCCCCCGTGCACAAATTTTGTGCACCAGGCCTCTAGTTGCTAAATGAATGTCCTACAGAGGCCTGTGCCAGGAATACCGTTTCCCCGAAAATAAGGCAGTGTCTTATATTAATTTTTTCTCCCAAAGATGCGCTAGGTCTTATTTTCAGGGATGTCTTATCTTTCCACACGCTAGGTCTTATTTTCGGAGGATGTCTTATTTTTGGGGAAACACGGTATATGCTAAATGGCTGGGAGGGAGGCGGACAGTGGGAGGGGGAGATAGCAGTTATCTTGGAAGCTGCTTCAGTATGTTTAGTTCCTTTTACTGTTGCTACTATAGAGCAGCGAAGCTTAAGTTCTTGGTGTGAATTATTAGTGAGGTAGCGGAGTTTGGTAGTTAAAACCACAGGCTTGAGGGAGAGCCTCATGTCAGATCCCAGCTTTGCACAAGAGGTAGGATCTTGGGAAAGTTACCTATCTCCTAATGAGCATGTTAACAGTACCTACCTCAAAGAGTCACTGACTTAAATACATACATACAGGTAAAACTCTTCACCTACACCGGTATATAGTAAGTGCTCAATAAATGTTACCAATTGTCATATTAGTGAATTTAGAAAGATGTAGCATTTAACATTCAGAAATATTGTGCCCTATTATCTAAAAGCCATATTACTCCAGAATCATTACTATTTGAGCACCTATAATGTATGAGGTATGCTGCAAGTATTTTGCATAAAGTCTCTTGCCTTTGGACTTTCATTATTAATAATCCCTGAAAGGTTGGTATTTCCATTTTTAAGGAGATTTAAAGTTAATACCAGTATTGAACCCATGTCTTTCTAAAGCAAGAGTGGGGAACCTTTTTTCTGCCAAGGGCCATTTGGATATTTATAACATCATTCAAGGACCATACAAAATTATCAACTTAGAAATTAGCCTGGTATATCTGGTCAAACATTAATTAATTTACCCCTAATTCTTCGGCAGGGCCAGACCAAATGATTTTGAAAGCCTTACCATGGCCAATGGGCCGGACATTCCCCACCTCTGGTCTAAACTTTTAAGACCCCCACTGAAATGTGCTCCCCTCTCCAAACATTCTGATGAATTAGGCTTCAAAGGTTCAGGTACCTGGGACCCAGCAGCTCCGCTCAAGATTACCTAAGAATTACAGCTTCAAAAGAGGCCAACGCTAACTTCCACCCAGGCAGCTGTTTCAATCAGCACAACAGCAGCCCGTGAGCACACAGGTTACTGATTTCTATTGTTTGGATTTCCCTGAATGCCTCCTCCACATCATCCAGACCAAGCCTTTCAGTTACAGAAGGGCAGCTGGTTGATTACTTCTTTTTCCTACTCAGAACTGCCTTTCTGTATCTACCCCTGCGACACCTCATCAGGCAGACAAGCTGATACTCACAAAGGCGGAGTTAATGGCATCCACAAAGTTCTCCTCATCCATGCTGACCAGCTCTGCTGCATGCTCATGGGATGTGGACCACACCAAGGAACTCAAGGTGTCTGAGAGCTGTCACAAAAGAACACCATCAATACTGAGAGCTACAACTTCTGTTCTTGGGCACTATTGAGCATAAAGATATGAAGGAGAAATGAAGCTAGCCTGGAGATATTTCACCTGAAAATGGCCGAGAGAAAATGAAGTCCTAAAAGAGGGAGGCTGGACTACCCAGACAGCGTTCTTACCGGGAGCAGAGCGATGGGCCCAGAGGGAAGAAATCTCTGCCAAGCCACATTGTTTTCTGTGACCTGCAATAGAAAGGAGAACAGCTGTGGGAAGTACATATTCAACACCAGCAGGGTCCCCAGGGGTGGGCTCAGGGTCTTCTTTTTTTTTAATCCTCACCTGAGATATGATTATTCATCTTAGAGGGAGAAGAAGGAGAGACAGAAAAACGTCGATGTGAGAGAGAAACATCAATGGGTTGCCTCTTATATGTGCCCCAACTGGGAATCAAACCCACAACCTAGGCCTGCACCCTGACCAGAATCGAACCTGCCCTCCTTCAGTATACAGGACGGTGTTCCAACCAACTGAACCCACTGGCCAGGGCTGGGCTCAGGATCTTACCTCTGATAAATGCAGAGTAGCCACAACAGCAGACTGGTCATAGTCCCAGCTGACATTCTGGATTCCAGCAGCTTGCCGTACTCCTGAGTTGTGACCATCTGCACCGATCTGCACAGAGACAAGAGCCTGCTAAGTCTTACAATCTTTTAGTAAATGAAACTGCTCCAGAAGTTTGTCTCTGCCGCTTAAAAATTTCTCTAGTTCTAACTGCTGGCAAGCCCATCTATGGCAGACAACTTTTTATCATGCCTGCTCACTCACAGCCTCTAAAGGGGTGGCTCCACATATGTGTCGCCGGCCTCAGCTAACGGACCAAAGCTGGACATCTGACCCACGAGGTGCTGGACATCTGACCCACGAGGTGCCAGCCACAGGTTAAACTCAGCCAAATTCCCCTGCTATTTGGACTAGAAAGCAACAGGCAGGCACTAGAGCTGAACAGTCCTGATGTAAGGTGAGGGATGGCTGCCGTGGAGGGGAAAGCTGATGAGCAGAGAGAGGACTTACAGGACTCCTGGGAGGGAAAGAACAGCCTCAGTTTCTGATACTCTGGTTCCTGTCTCTGTGAGGCCAGCTGTCCTTACTTCATGACCTAAGATGGTCCAGGAAATTTGGTCCTGCACAGGATTTACAATGAGACCATCTTAACTTGAGACCAGCTTACTGGGTACTGGTGCTTATAACCAAAAGCTTAACCTAAAATTAATATCAACTGTAGCTTAGATGAAAAACTAGAGGCCCTAGAATTGAGGCTAACATGTGAATATGCAAGACCCCTGCAAAATAAAAATTCCAACTACCAACAATTTGGTCTGGAGGGTGCTGCCATCACCTAGGGTAATATGAACCCAAGGGCTGGAGTCTGCCATGGAAGCGGGAGAAGGCCAAGTATAGCCGACGGCTTTGCTCCGGTAGAGAACAGTCACTCGATCTAGGGAGGTCAGAAGAGAGAACACAAAACATGAGAAAGCCAGCCCACGCAGGCTGAGGGAAAGCCATAACTAAACCTAAAGCAAGGTCCAGGACAGCTGTCTCTTGTCCTTTACTCCTAAACAAGATAAGTAAGATCTAAAAAAACCTCATGTGACTGGTGCTATTGTCTGAGAGCTGATAAACAACGGAAACCACAGGGATGAATCAGTGTAAAAAAATTAATCTCTCAGTGAATTATCAGCCTGCAGCAGGCACTCTTCCCCTCCTGCTCTTCCAGTTCACTCTACGCCTCAATGAGCCCATGTGTGCTTTCAGAAGAAACCATGGAAATACCATGGCTCAAACTTCCAGATTTCATAACATTTTCTTCCCCCTGGAAACCATTTTACTTCCTGACCAGAAAAAAGATATGCTCACTGTAAAAGTCTGAATAAAGAAAAGTTTAAGAGTGGGGGGGGGAACTACCCTCAATCATACCACCCAGAGACAACTACAGTTAAAGCTTTGCCACAGATGATACACCCTAGATTTTCTGGTCATCCTGCTCATTGTACCCACAAAAATTTAAGTACTGCTAACATTTTCTGCCATAAATAACACTTGTTTGTATATGGATGTACAAGTTCCAATCACTAAATGTTCAAATTTTAAATGTCTCAATAAAAGCCATTCTATTATATAAAAAAAATTAAAAAAAAAATAAAAAAATAAAGCTTTGCCACAGAGCTTACCTAACAGTTTCTTATACGTGGACATGTGGTGCGCACAGCCTCACACACACAAATGGAATCATGTAGTATTTTTCACCAATAGACTGTGGGACATGGTTCTAAGTTAGTAAATATTAGGTCTAAATTATCTTTAAAAGATGCACAGAAGCTCTTTACATGGGTGAACTATGTACCCATATCAAAAGCATTTAAGGTTGCTTCCAATTTTCTCTCTCTAGAATAACCCTGAAATATTTGCAAATCATATAGTGAACAAGGAATTTATATCCAGAATTCAAAAAGGACTTTGGCCTGGCCGATATAGCTCCGATATATGAACCAGGAGGTCACAGTTGGATTCTTGATCAGGGCACATTCCAGGGTTGCAGGCTCGATCCCCAATGGGGAGTGTGCAGGTGGCAGCCAATCAATGGTTCTCATCATTGATGTTTCTAGCTCTCTCTTTCTCTCTGAAATCAATTTTTTTAATTTAAAAAAAAAAAAAAAAGAACCCCATAACTCACAAAAAGACAAATAATCCGGTTTTTAAATGGGCAAAAGATTCTGAATACACTCTTCTCCAAAGACAAACAAATGACCAAAAAGCACATGAAAAGACACTCAACATTATTTGTCATCAGGGAAATATGATCCAAACTATAATGAGATACTATCCATCGTCACAAGGATGGCTATAATTTTTTTTTTTTTAAAGGGATAGGAGCCCAGGCCAGGTAGCTCAGTTGGTTAGAGCATCCTCCTAATATGCCAAGGTTATGCGTTTGATCCCCGGTTAGGGCACATACAAGGAAATGCAATTGGCAATAAAAAAGAATAAAGCACTGATACATGCTACCACATGAACACATCTCAAAAATACATTCAATGGGAGAGTCAGACACCAAAGAATACATATTTGTGAGTCTAACTCTATGAAATGTCCAAAAAAAGCAAATCCCAAAAGACAGAAAGTAGACTAGTGGTGCCAGGGGCTGGGGGTCAGATTGGGGAATATTATAAATGAGCTCCAGGTTTTCTCTGAGGTAATGGAAATATTCTAAAATTGTGTGATGATGGTGGCATAACTCTCTAAATAATAAAAATCACAGAATTGTACACTTATAGTGGGTAAATTTTTTGGTATGTAAATGATACCTGAATAAAGCTGTAAAAGAAAAACAAGAAAAACCCTGAGCTAGGTAGCAGAATGTTTGTTTATGGAGCACATTCAGTACCTGTAAAAGGGATCCTTCCAGAAGAGATTCACCTTCCAGAGGATGACAGGACGATGGGAGAGGCGGGAGCTCACCTGACACGGCCTCCAGCTGCTTCGTGAGAGCGTGCATGATGACGTCGTTCTCCACTATGTAGCCCATGTCGTCCAGGTTGTCCTTGTCGAACATGATCAGGGCCTCGGAGCAGGCATCCCACACCTGGCAGCACAAAGGGAGCGTCTGTGTTACAACCCGAGGAAAAGGAAACATCACTCCAACCCGAAACTGAGCACTGCTTTCCCAAGTGACAGAGCAGAGCAACCACAAACTGTCAATCCCGCTGGCAGGACATCAGGCGAGAAGAAAATTCTCGGGAATGCTTTCCCCCACTTTCTTAGACTGAGTGTGGACTTGAATGTGGACTCCAATATCTTAGCACAAGACAGACCAAGGCATCCTGCCAAGAGTGACAAAGGGAGCACCTGCATTCGCCGAAAGGCTCTGTATCTCATGTTGCAGATGTGGTCCCAGGCTCCGAAACCTACAAAAGAGAGCAAGTATGTAGAGACCCGAGCATCCTTCCTGGGCCCCCTTTGTCCCTCCGTCTTGTTAAGTTAGAGTTGTTCTCGGTGTTCTCCATAACAGAGGAATACTCTCCCCTTCTGTGTTTGATGGCGGGAGCTAAGCTCCTCTGCTCCACAGCTCAGATTACACAGTCTGAAAAAAGACCAGCTTTCATGACCAACAGGTCAAATCACATTGTAAAGTAGGGGAAATAAATAAGGAAATCAAAGCCATACTGTTCTTTTCCATCCTACTGAAGTTACAAACTCTGGATAAAGAATACCTTTTGTTGATCTCCATGGCACTGAAGAGATTCACTCATTGAGGAAGTTATTTGCAGAGCACCTACAATGTGACAGACACTAGTACATTTCTAGGTGCTGAGCAAAAAGTGGAAACCAAATGGGCCAAGTCCCCACCTTTCTGTGGCTAACATTCTGACTTACTATTTGTAGTAAAAAGCAAATACATAATACAATGTCAGATGATAGTATTATGAAGAAAAATAAAGCAGCAGAGAGTGATCAGAGGGCTAGAGAGTGATACGAGAGTCTTTTAGGTAAGGTGGTTCTAGTCAGGATAGTCAGAGGAGGGACTTAAAGACAGTGTGCTGACAGCTGGTTCGGTTTGCACACATGCATCTTCACCCCAAAAGCATTTATTACACGGGCTCCCTAGCTTCCCACAGGGCGGACTCTGGGAATGAAGAGGACTCTGCTCATAATTAGTTCATGTAGTTTTAGTCCCACACATTTATAATGACCCAACATCACAAATGAAGTCTACGCGATGGACCCACAAGTCCCAAGGATGTCTTCCTCAGACGGGGAATTAGCACGTTAACGATTTCAGAAACTACGTGCCAGACTACCAACCACACCCCTCGCCCACCCTCCTCAGTGAGCCCTCCGCCCAGACGCTCTGTGACTCTGCCTCTGGGCACACCGGGAGGCCGAGGGAGGCCGGAGATTGGTTCTGCGAGAGGACGTTCTACTCACTGCTGAGAAGCGTTGCAGAGCCGGGGGAAATGGAGCTGACCCTGTTGCTGTAAGTTGCTGGCAATTTCTCCAAAACTTTCTTTGGACCTGCTTCTAGCAACAGGATTTTCTTGTCATGAAAGTGAATATCATATCCTAAAAAAAAAAAGGCAAACTTTTATATCACTTTAGGAAAATCAGAATTTATTTTTTCATTGCCAAGAGAAGCAATAATTCATTCCTTAGGTACAAATTTCTTACACAGCACACAAAAAGGAAACACCATGCAGAGTCCTAAAGCAAACCATCCTGCCAACCACCATGAGGTAGTATTGAGATACCAGATATTTCTAATCCTCAAAGTATTACATCACTGAAAATTACAAAGCCTGTTCAACAGGAAAAAATGTAGTTAATAAGCGAAATTCATTGTGGCCTCAAGGTTAAATCAAGGATAAAGAATTAGTCTGTGAAAGAAAAGGGGCCAAAAATACATCAGTTGTGCCTACAAATCTGATCCTAAAACATTGCAGAGGAAGTAAGAAGGGAACTTGGGCCAGGCTGGCGTGGCTCAGTGGACCTATGAACCAGGAGGTTAGGGTTTAATTCCCAGTTAGGGCACATGCCCAGGTTGCAGGCTCCATCCCCAATACGGGTGGAAGCAGCCAATCAATGATTCTCTCTCATCATTGATGTTTCTACCTCTTTCTCCCTCTCGCTTCCTCTCTGAAATTAACAAATAATTATTTAAAATTTAAAAGGGGGGGAGGGCAGGACTTGAGGATGCCATCACTGGTTGTTGCAGCACGCTACAGCCAGTCCCGCCAGTGTCTCAGAGAAAGACACGGGGAAATAAGCAGTGAGTTGCTGCTGCCAAGAAAGGAGAAAAATATGTGCTGGAACTGCCCGACCATCTCCCTTACCCCTGCCCCTCCAGGAGAGCTTCATCTCACTCTTTCTTTGGTCAGGTACTATCTACAAATCTTTCGCCTTTGGTAGATTCTAAATTCCTGGGGGACAGAAATGTTTCCCCCTTATAGTAATATCCCCGGCAACAAATGCTGTATCTCCTCAATCCATAACTAGATAATGTCTTCACAGACATTTCTGTTAAACAAGAGACCAGAAAACTAACAGGAAACTACATTGAGTGTCTGCCCCCTGGTGGTCAGTGCGTGTCATAGTGATCAGTTGAATGGTTGGTCGTTTAGGCTTTTAAATATATATCGATAGATACTCTATATCCAATACCCTTTGTATTTCAAATTCCTTTTGAATTTTGTATATGTGCCTGTCTCAGTTTTTCAAAACCTAAAACCAAAGCAAAACAAAACAATCCAGGTGATTCTTAAATGCACCTGCCAACCACTATTTTAATCCATTTATCAATAGGTACAACCAAATGGCTGTCAGGGAGAAAAGGTATACACACAAAAATCTTTGCTTTTCCTAATTACTGGCTTTTGAGTGCAAATTACTTAAGTTTTTTTGTTTGTTTGTTTTTTTTGCAAATTACATACATTTTCTTGAACTTTAACTTCCTTACCTGCACAATCAACAATCGAGATTATTATGAAGGTTAAATAAAAATGCATGTACAGCCAAAACCGGTTTAGCTCAATGGATAGAGCATTGGCTTGGGGACTGAAGGGACCCGGGTTCGATTCCGGTCAAGGGCATGTACCTTGGTTGCGGGCATATCCCCAGTAGGGGGTATGCAAGAGGCAACTGATCGATGATTCTCTCTCATGATGTTTCTAACTCTCTATCCCTCTCCCTTCCTCTCTGTACAAAATCAATAAAATATATTTTTTAAAAATGTATGTAGAATACTTTAAAATATGCCCATCCATAGCAAGTGCTTAATAATTGATAACCGTTTTCTAAAATTACTTTGAGACGCAAGCCCATCGGCTTATACAAAGCATTGTTTCCCCCAGTGTCCTAGAAGAGGAACCACACTCTAACTCTCAAGTCAACAAACACTATTAATGATCTTTGTGAGGCCAAAATCAATCTAATTTCTGAAAGTCACTGTACAGTTGTTAAAAGCAAACTACTCTGAGTTTGGTGGCCTGGGTTTGAATTCAGATTCTGCTAGTGCCTGGTTGAGACTCTGGTCCTAACTTAACCTTTGCCAGGCAAGTTTTCTCATATAAGATATGAAAGTAATATCTACCTCACAGGGTAGTGAAGCAGCCTACACTATAAGCATGAAAGCTAAGTTCTAACCTCACCTTATACACAAAGTTTAACTCAAAGTAGATGATAGGTTTAAATGAAAGAGCTAAAACTATAAAACTCTCAAAAGAAAGCTTAGGAGTGAATCTTAGATATAACACCAAAAACACAAGTGGTAAAAGACTAGTAAGTTCAATTTCATCAAAATCAAAAACTTTTGACCCTAGCCAGTTTTGCTCAGTGGTTAGAGCATCAGCCCGGACTGAAGGTTGTGGGTTCAATTCCAGTCAAGGGCATGTACCTGGATTGCAGGCTAGATCCCCATCACTTAATGAATGGACAAAACATATTATATCCACACGATGGAATATTATTCAACCATATAAAGGAATGAAGTATTGGCACATGATACAGCCTGGATGAACCTTGAGAACACTAAGTAGATTTCACCTAGATGGAAATGTCCAGTAAAGGCAAATCTACAGACAGAAAAATACGTGAGTGGTTGCCGAGAGCAGTGATTTGCAACCAGTGTGCTGCGGGAATTTTCAAAACATGCAATCCCTGACTTGTCAGAGGCACTGACCTCTTTTCCTTCAGACTGTCCAATTAAAAAGTGACAACTGCCAACACAATAGCCGTCAGTGTGAATTAGTCAAAATTATACCTATTTTTTTTTGTCAGATCGGCAAAAAATATATATTTTGGTGTGCCACAGAATTTCAGTAATTAGTTTATGTGTGCTATGAGATGAAAACCATTGAAAATCACTGGCCTAGAGCTAAGATTGGGAGGAAATGAGCAGTGGCTGCTAATGAGTTCAGATTTCTTTTGGAGGAAATAAAAATGTTCTAAAATTTGTCGTGATGGCTGCACAATTCTGAATACACACACACACACACACACACACACACACACACACTAAATTGCATGCTTTTAATGGGTGAACTTTAACTCTGGCCCATAGCTCAGTGTGTTAGTGTCCCATACACCAAGGTTGCGGGCCCATCCAAACAAGAATCAACCAATGAATGCAAAAATAAGCGGGACAACAAATCCATGTTTCTCTCTCTCTAATCAATCAATCAATAAAATAGTGGTGAATGGGTGAAATTTATGGTATGCAAATTATATTTCAAAGAAGCTGTTAAAACACAGGGAGGGGAGGGAAGAGGAGGGGAGAAGAATGCAACCATGCGCGACTGCTTGCAATTTCGCCCATAACTAAATAACCCTGAGCAGGTCTATTTCCCTACAGGTTGGAAGGAGTCCTAAGGTACCGCCCACTTTTGACCCTTCGGCACCCCCAAGAACCAAACGCTTGCCCTGGGGCCAAGGGAAGGGAAGGGGCCACAAGATCTGCAACCCTCAGCCTTTGGGGAAACGGTGCCAGAATCCCAGGGTCCCCACAGCTCCACGGCCCCTCTCCCCCACACTACCGGCCTTGCAGAGGCGCTTACCCAAGGCACAGGCCATGGCGGCGCCTACCAGGCCTCCACCGGACACCACCACATCGTACACGGTGTCTGCCGGGGCACCGGCCCACCTCCGACAGGAGACCAGCGGGCCTCTCCGGGCAGCGGCAGGCGCAGCTCCTAAACGGCTCGCGGCCAGCAGAGCCGCCATGGTGCAGGCCCGCTCCGCGCTGGGCACCCCGCTAGGCCCGCCTCCGAGAGCACGTCCAGACCAGAGTCCGCCAATCACTTGCCGCCTCAGCCTCGCGGCCTTAGAACCGGAAATAGAACGTAGAAAGGGAATAGGCCAATCGGAAAACAAGCCTTGCCTCGTTGGGCGGGATGTTTTGGAGGCTCCCTGGTAAGGGATTGGTTCAAGCATCCGCCCAGGAGCCAATCAGAGCACAGATATACAAAGGGGCGGGACTTAGCTCACCCAGGTAGCGGCGCCGCCGCCGCAGTCCCCGCCGGGGTCGCGGACGCTGCGGTCGAGCACCGCGGACGAGATGACGGTGGGGAGGCGAGCGGGAGCCCCCGGCGGCGCCCGGGACCTGCAGGTGAGGGAGAAGACGGAAGGGGGAAATCGAGTCTGGGCTCCGGAAAGGAATGCCTGCAAGAGGAGTGTTTGACGTTGCCTTGGAGACAGACGTAGGGGCGTGTTCCCGAGGGGCGTGGGATGAAATTGGTTGCGTTTATTTTCATTTTATTAAAGTATTACGGTTTATGTGTACATATCTTATCATTGCCTCCCCCCACAAAAAAAAAAAAAATTCATCTAGAGCTGCCTGAACCGGAGCCCTATGGCAGGCTCTTAGCAGAACCATCGCTCTATCCCTTCAGCTCCCCCAGGACTGTCCTAGACTGTTGCTCGGAAAGATTAAGAAATTTGCCCCAAAATCCATATAAACAGAAAGTGGAATGGTGACTGCGTAGGGCCGGCGGGGAAGGATGAGGGGTGAGCTGGGAAGGGAGGTGGGGGAGGGATGGGAGGATTGGGGAAAACAGGGAGTGACTGCTAAATGCTATGGGGCTTCGTTTTGGAGTGATTAAAATGTAAAGCTGGTGGTGGTTGCACAACTGCGAATATACTAAAACCCCCTGCACCCCTTAAATACGTGGATTGTATGTATTGCACGATGTGTGAATTATATCTCAGTAAATTCCTTTAAAAAGGAAGTTTCCTAAGATCACACACTCTTCAGTAGCATAGTGAGGGCTAGAGTACATTCAGACCTTTGACTCAGTCTCGTGTTCTTTGCAGTGTTAGAGCTGGACCTTAGAGAACCCAGTAAAATCATCAGCAATCCAGCTGCAATCAGTCATCCTCTGGTCCCATCCTGGCACCACCACACCAGCCGTTCCTGCCTCAGGTCCCTGCCTCAAGGTCTTTGCTGTTCCCAGAAACCGCTTACCCCAGATCTGAGCAAGGCTGGCTCCTTCTCATCAGTCACGTGTAAATCCCAAACTCCTCCACAGTGAGAAGTAAAAATCATCCCAGGTCTGAGAAAATACGATTCAGACCGTAACAGACAGAGAAGGCCAGCAGCAAGATCAGCAGAAAACAGTGTTTCTCATAGGACCACACCAGACTGTAAAATGACTAACACCCCCTTCTAAATGAGTATGCTTACCTGTCACTTACTTACCCAGCCCACTTGTTCTTGTCCCCTTTTGAATAAAAACTGCTCAATCATCCACTCACTCACTCCCCTCTTCACAGCAGCATCCACTCAGAGGTGATCCCTGCTTCCCCTAACTCTCATCAGAATTATTCAGGACAAGCTAACCCTAGAAAAAGCCCTCTCCCACCCTCTTACTATTGGTAAAAGCAACCCCCCTCCCAAGTTCCCTATAATTTTCCATTGTTTACTGCAGCAAGTTAATAAACCTAACTCTGATTATAGTATAAATATATATATACCTTCCACAATATATGTCTATCTTTACATAAATATATAGTCTTTATCTGATGTTTTTTAGCCCATCATATAAGGAAAGCTTCCTATAGCCATTCTATAATCCCGTAGTTTTATGGACTTCGCTAAATTATTATCTTCTATCTCTGTCTTCCTTTACTGGAATGTTAGCTTCATAACGGCTTTGATATTTCAAGACAAGGCCTTATCTTGTTCTCAGCTTAATTCCTAGTGCAAATGAATCACCTTATTTATATTTTCTGGAGTATTTAAACCCAGTTGGGTTTCCCATATTCTAGGACATTGCTCATTCAGCTAGACCACATTGTCTCTCCTGTTAATTATCCATTCCTAGTGACACAGTGGAAATCAGCTAGAATATGAGGAAAGCAAAGGTGTAGACAGAGAAAGCAAGAAAAAGAAGATTGAAAAAAGTTGGTAAAACCCCAATAGGGCAGGGCCCAAAGCGTGGCCAAGGTCATGGGTAGGATTGCAGGAGGGAGCAGAATGCCTGGTGCAGAGTAGGTTCTCTGTAAGTGCTCCCCGCAGTGCATGAAGTAGGGACCCAATTTCAGCTCTTTGCTTCTCTTTCCTGTCTTTTGTCAACCAAGAGCTGCTGCCACAATTCAACACCAACAGAAGTCCTCAATTTTGGGTGCGGTTCAGGAGAGATTTTATTCAGCTCAGTTTGCAAACCTGGGAAACACAATCTGGGCACTCTGCTTATACAGAGAAGAGTGCCTTCTAGTCCCTGATCAATTTTCATGCAAATGAACCATAAACTTCTTGTGTTCTGATTGGCCAATTAATATGCAAATGAAGATATAGTTGCACAGCTCCAGTTGGATCCGACAGGTCTTCAGCCCGCTGGTGGAATTACAGCTGAAGGAGCTCTAATATAAGGGTCGATTCAGATGGCAGGAACACAGTGCCTGAGGCTGGCCGCTCCAGCTGAGGTTTTCCCTGAGGCGCAGTGTGGGTGAGGGACCATTGCAAACAACGGCTGCTACACTCTGGTTATGAATTTGAGCCCAGTTTACAACTAGGGATCTTTGGCAGGTCTATTCTTTTTTGGGATTGACACCTTCGACCAAGCACACCCCATATACCAATTTGTGAAATTTCTTTTTAAAAATATATATTTTTATTGATTTCAGAGGGAAAGGGAGAGGGAGAAAGATATATAGAACCATCACTGATGAAAGAGAATCACCAGTTGGCTGCCTCCTGCACAATCCCCACTGGGGATGGAGCCCACAACCTGGGGAACGTGCCCTTGACCGGAATCGAACCTGGACCCTTCAGTCCACAGGCCTGCACTCTATCTACTGAGCCAAACGAGCGAGGGCGTGAAAGTTCTTTAGAGCACTCTTATTTCTACATTGTCTTTCCTGTTAATTAAAAAATTTCTTTGTTCCTCCCCAGTCCTTAATATATAGAGGCTTATTCAAAGTGAAATTAACAGTTAAGTTGTGAATAAATTTGAAATTATAGATTGACCCCGATCTATCCTATTTCGTTTTAGATATTTCCGCCCAGATCCTCCTCAGACACGGAGGCAGAAGAGGAGCAGCCTGGGTATGGGCTGGCTTTGCCTGGGGCTGGAGGACTCGATGAGCTCCTCAGCCCAGAGGAGACAGATTCCACTTCTCCTGACTCAGCTGGGAGCTTTTATGAGACCCTGCGAGCCCTGGGGCAGAAAGGCCGGTGGTGCCTGTCGGAATCCCTTCATCCGTCTGACCCAGGCAGTGATGGGAGCCTCTCTGAAGACGATGAGGACCTGGCGAGTTTCTTCCAGAACAAAGGCAGCGGGGAGCCGCAGGTCCAGCGCCCCCCATCGCCAAGGTGAGGCGCTGCAGCACAACGGCTGCTTCCCTGCACAATTCCCACCAAGGCCCGTGTTTCTTCCTCAGTGAAGGACCACGTGTCCAAGTTGCCACTTACTAAGGCTCCGGAAGAATCAGCTTCCGGATCCAAACATGCTTTCTGATTCCTACCCAGCGGCCCTAAATCACTCCGGGTCACCTTACCACCCGGAGCACGGGAATTGTTAAACGGACGCCTTTCCCACACACACACTGCTCCCTGAGAATGGCAGCAAGGTGCCTTGGCCTTGGCCAAGCCCTGTTATGTGTATGCATGCTTTACCTCGTTTAATATTTATTTTTCCTCCTCTTGATCACCCTGTAAACAGGTATTATTTTGCCATTTTACAGATGAGGAGTTGAGGTTCAAAGAGAACCTTGCTGAAGGTCACACAGCTGGCAATTGTTTGAAGCAAGATTTGCCTCTGGCTCTGTCTGACTCTAAGCCCTGCTCTGCACCACTGCGCTGTCCCCCTGTGAAAATATCAGAATGCAAAGTGGCAGTTTTTGGATCAGTTCCGAGAAGAGGCTTCTCACTAAGGCCGATAGGGGGCCTGTGGGAAGGAGAGGGGCCTGGTTGAGAAAGGCAAAGGCTTAGAGGCCCGTGGGGCTGCGATGTTAGGCTGAGAAGCTAGATGCAGCCTGCTGGCAGAGAGGTGTGGGGAGGCAGCGGGGAGGAGGGGCTGGGAGGCGCCGGGCCCCGGGCGGCCTGTCCTCCAGGCCCCGGCAGCTGCTTTCTTCCCCCAGGTGCGGCTACCCACGGCGCTGCAGCTCCCTGAGCAGCCTGCCCTCCGACATTCCCAAGGCTCAGTCCCAGGCACCCACAGGCTCCCGGCCTCCTTCCCAGCACAGAAGCCTCAGCTCCTGGGCATCCTCCATCACTGTTCCCCAGCCGTTCCGCATGACGGTGCGCGAGGCCCAGAAAAAGGCCCAGTGGCTGGCCTCGCCTGCCTCCTTCGAGCTCGAGAGGCAGCAGGCCCAGAGGCAGGGCCAGGAGGAGGCCGAGTGCCACCGGCAGTTCCGAGCACAGCCCGTGCCTGCGCACGTCTACCTGCCCCTCTACCATGAAATCGTGGCGCGCAGCGAGGCCCGAAGGCAGGCAGGGATCCAGAAGAGGAAAGAACTGCTGCTCTCGTCTTTCAAACCCTTCAGCTTCCTGGAGAAGGAGGAGCAACGGACGGAAGCCGCTGAGCAGAGGGACCTGGCCGCCAGTGCTCAGGCTAAGGCCTCCAAGCCGACTGCCTCGAGAAGGATCCCCAGGTCCATTCTGGAGCCAGCTCTCGGGGACAAACTCCAGGGTAAAGACAACCCTGCCACCTTGCTGCCTGCTGCGGGGGGTACAGTGAGGATTTATCAGGCTCGGGTTAGCCTGGCTTGGAGATGAGCTGCTAAAGGCCCCTCAGTGAGTGGATGTGAAGGCCTCTGTGGCCGCAGATAGGAGAACAGAGAACCAATGAGACATCTAAAGACTGGCTTAGACCGTGCCACTGCCTCTGATGAAACCTCCCCCAGCCTGGTGAGGAACTCATTTCAGAGTGCAGCTCAAATAAGAGACCCAGCTTTCTTTGCTCATTCAGTAACATGTGCCATGTCCCACGCATTGTTCTAGGGTGAATGAGTAGACATGGAGTTTGTGGACATGGAGGGAGACAGATAAATGACCACAACTGAGAGGAGTCATTTGCAAGGATTATAGGGTCCTATGGAGTTTGTGTCAAAGGGCCTAACTTAGGGTCCCCAGAGAAAGTGAGTGCTGAGGCTGACCCTGCAGGGTGAGCTGTTAATCTGATGAAGAGGGAGGGAGAGTGTACCAGCAGAGCTATAGCATGGAGGTAAGAGAGCTGAGCACATTCAGGGGTGAAAAGGTAGAGGTGGAGAGAAGAGGGAAAGGGGAGGAGAGAGGCAGGCACAGGTCAGACCTGGGGCCTTGAAGGCCGTGGGAAGGAGTTTGGACTTCACCCAAGGGCACTGGGGAGCCACTGGAGGGTTTAAAAAGAGTGGCTCATGATCAGGTATGAAGTTCAGAAAGATCACTCTGATTGCTGTTGAGATAATTAAAGGGGGAGGTGCTAGACTCAGGGATGCTGATATAACGAGGCTATTTCAACAATTTAGTTGAGAAATTATGAAATTAGTAGCAGGGACAACAAAAAAGAGACTGGACTGGAGACAGGTTAATGCGGAGGAGACGGTGGGACGTGTGACTGATAAGATGAAGGAGGGCATTCCAAGAATGACTTGGACAATGGACTTGGGCAGTTGGGTGGGTGGAGGGGCCTTTCTCTGAGACGGGAGAGCTGGGAGAGGAGCAGGTGACTGGCCCATTCCTTCTGGTCATCCTTTAGGAACCAGAGAAAGCACTCAGTAAATGTGAATGGAGCTGATTCTGCAACCTGATTGGTACCTGGCAGTGTTCTCCTCAACATTTATTGAGCTCTCCAGGAAAAAAAATAAAATAAAATAACAAACGATTTGTAGTGTTTGCCATTTTCTGTCGTGTAAATATGCCTATCGTGGCCAGTTTCAGGCTTTCCCACATGGTGTCAGCTGGATCACAAAATTCCTGAAAAGTCAACATTTGGTTCCAGCACATTACTGCTAGTGTTTAGAAGAGGGAAAGTTCTCCAAACCTTTTGGTATGAGTCTCGGTCCCTTCCCATCCCTCACCACCCTGACTTTTCTTCACAGAAGCTGAGCTCTTGAGGAAAATTCGCATCCAAATGAGAGCCATGGACATGCTCAAGATGGCCTCCTCCCCCGTCATCTCCTCCAGTCTCAGGGCTGACCCACAGCTCCGCACGGCCACCCGGACCTGGCAGGAGAAGCTTGGGTTCCTGCAGACTGACTTCGGGTTCCAGCCGCGGGTGAATCCTGCCGTCCCTGACTACGAGGGCCTCTACAGGGCCTTCCAGAGAAGAGCTGCCAAGAGGAGGGACACCCGAGAGGGGACTCGCAACAAGCCCTTCTTGCTGAGAACCGCCAGCCTGTGTCACACTCAGCGGCCCTGTGATGCTGCCGCCGCTGGAGGGAGGAAGGTGAGAGCCCGGCGGTTTGGGAGGGTCGAGGGCCACGTCTCGATGGAAGGCACTTCTCGTGGCATTTTTCTATCTTAACTAAAAACAAAACAAAACACCAGTTCAGATGACGGGGGAGGAGGCCATCTTGAGCATGAAAAAGCCTCCAGGATTGACATCCAAGTCTGTCCCAATGACTAAGCTTGAAATCTCATTACCCTTGGCTTTAATCCCCAGAAAAAAGATCCTTAGTCTGATTAGTTTTTATCTTCACTGAAACTGATTCCAGCTAAGATGAAACCCAGTCACACATGCTGTCCCACCAATGCCAGCCTGTGCTTCCTCTAGGACTCCCCACAGCCACCGGCTGCTCCCCGGCCCAGGAGCCGTTCTCTGAGTGGCCTTGCTTCCCTCTCTGCCAACACCCTACCTGTGCACATCACAGACGCCACCAGGAAGAGGGAATCCGCAGTCAGGTGAGTGGTCAGGCTGCAAAAGACTCACAATGCCCGGCTCATGGCCCACAGGATGGACACCATCCCGCTGCTGGGCCGCCTCTCCTGTGACCGGAAGCCTGAAGGCGTGGAAGGGAACTCTCCGGCTCTCCACACTTAGGGCTGGAAAACACCTAGCTATCATTCAGCAAATATTCACGGGGCCTTACTCTGTGCCAGTAGAATGTCAAGGCTGGAGATACCTATAGTTTAATACCTAATCTGAAATACAGAAAAGCAACGAAGCAGCTACCTTATGTTGTTAGTGAGTGCAAAGATGAGGGAATACAGGGGACTGTGGGACACTGGGAAGCCTGGGGAGGGGACTCTCGTAATAGATGTCTAAGGTGAAACCTGAAGGAAGAGGAATAAGCCAAAGGCTGGAAAGAAAGAAGTTTCCAGACAAAGAACAGCTTTGGTAAACACCTAGAGATGAAAAAGGAACCCATTGGGAGCAGGAACTCAGAGAAGCATGACAGGTGGCTGAGCCTGCCACAGAGATGAGCCTCCATTGCACATACTGACATTCTCCAAGATTCATCTGGGGAATCAGACTTCAGATGGGAATCAGGCACCTCCTTATTTTTACCTCTTTAACTGACCTTACTGTCATGGTATTGTTCTCATATGAGCCAGTAAGCGCTCCTTCACCAGGCCACTGAGACAAAGTGAGCAGAGGACCAGCATATTGGTGCTTTCCTGTAGAGCTACACAGGAGTAACTGAACCGACTTGGCCCTTTAAGACCCACACAGATCGTAGAAATGTATTTAGAATCCAGTGGATATTTCCCTTTTCCTCAAATGTCATAGAGCTACTAAATCAAGGCTGAATGTAGCAATATCCTGAGGTCCCAATTAGATATTATGAACCAAAGGTTGGCCCACCTTGCAGAGGATGTCTACCACTGCTTCTTAGCAATAGGGAGTTTGACATACTAGCAGATATAACTTTAATGTCCCCCTTCCTAATCAGTCCACTTGAGTGTGGGCCAAATGCAAGTCTTGGCTTTTTTCTTTTGGTGGAACTCTCCATACCTTGTAGAATATTTATACAAACTCAGTACTAAAAGTTGATCCCAAATTGTGCATAAAAAGAAGTCCATTTCTATATCTGTATTTATCTGTATTCCCAAGAGACCATAAACTCGGGCACCTTCCAGCCCACTGTTTATAGCACAGTGTATACACCAAGGGCAGACTTAAAAGTCAGATATCCTAATTCTAACTTTGGCTTTTCCACTGATATGCTGGGTAGGTTTGGGCAAGTGGCTTACCCTGCCTGAGGCTACATCTCTGCCTATACAACGAATGCTCCTAGTTCTTAGTTCACAGGGCAGTTATGAGGATTACACAAGATAGTGGGCATAAAGCACTTGCGGACTGTTTGCACTGGTTCAGGGTACATAACTCAGCTACTGAACCAGCTATTAGTATTCTGTTTCAGGATAGACAAGCCTGAATGTTTGGCTACTAAAATAAGGATATTTTATTCACGTTTTCAGTTCAATGAGTGATACTCTCCTGGGTAGAATATCACTGTATCTGGAGTGCTGGGAAGGCGTCATATGCCCTTGCATTTGATGCCAGAATCTTATTCTTTCTGAAATGCCAGGGAGGTAAATTACCCACCCACCTCCATTCATAGACTATCACCAACTTTCCAGAGAGGTTACTAAGATTGCTTTTAAATACCTCCAAGTTTGTCATCTGTATTCTTTTCCCCCCCTCCTCCCTGAAGAAGTTCACTTGAAAAAAAGAACAAAGCGCAAGAGAGTACTCAGTGGTTGGAGATGCATAAAAAGAAGTGTCAAGCAATGTCCAAATCGGTGACCTTGCGTGCAAAAGCCATGGATCCCCATAAAAGCCTGGAGGAGGTATTCAGAGCAAAGCTGCAAGAAAACCGGTCAGTGTCTTCCGTGTGTCAAAGGGTAGTGTCTTGGGACTCAGCAGATCATTGGCCTTAAAAACGGCAAAACGGCGTTATTAGGGTAGGCTCCTCTGAGGGCAGTCATGAGTTTTGCCAGGCACAGCTAGGAATTTACAATGTCCATGAGACCGACTCTGTTTAACTGGAATGAAGGGTATTCTGGATTGGAACAAGGCACATTAAAAAAAATCTAATTCCAGGAACAATGACTGTAAAAGAGCAAGAGAGTATAAGAAAGAACTGGAGGAAATGAAAAAGAGAATACAAACGAGGCCATATCTCTTCGAACAAGTTTCCAAGGTAAAACTGAACAACCAGTCATCTTCTTTCTGTCTTGGATGAGAGAGTTCTTAGACGTGAAAGTTTAATATCTAAACATTTCCCGGAAGCTCAGGAAGATTCTGAATTGGGCCCCTAAGTAGTAATAGTAGTGTAATAATAAATGTTACTTGGGCTAAATTCATCAAAGACTGGATTCTGAAGACATCTAACATGGAAAATTTCAATTCCTAGAGTTTTCACTGTAGTCTAGCTTTCAGTATGAATCAGAGTGGGAGTTAGGTTCCATATACACAGTGAGTTTGGCTGTTGGCAAGCACATTTTAACTTATTAATGTGACTGAAAATCCAGTCTTTGCTGCTGTCCAGAGCCACTGTTCATAATGGTGAACATCACCAGCCTCTAGATCTGTGGCACATTGCTAGATCTCTAAGGGTTTTTAGTCCATCATTTTCATCTGGACCTCATGTGGTCTTTCAAAAATCTAAGTCCTTGCTTCTCAAAGGTGTGGCTCCCTAATCAATGGCTGGCATCTCCTGGGACTGTTAGAAATACATAATTGCAGGCCCCAACTGAGACCTAACAAATGAGAGTCTACTTTTTACAAAATCTTCATTCAGATAGCTCCTATGCACTTTAAGGCTTGAAAACAAAGCTCAAAGTAATTTCTATGCAAATCTTGTCCTCACTAATGGGAGAGGGTGGTGGTGAACAGTATTTTAGGATATGGGTTAAGCTAGTAATTTAGAATTAACAAGAAATACACAGGACAGTTACAGATTAGTTTCCGTCCCACAGGACCTTGCCAGGAAAGCAGCAGAACAAAGGTATCAAGACACCCTGAAGCAGGCGGGGTTGGATGAAGACTTTGTGAGGAACAAGGGTCAGGGCGCCAGGACCGCACAGGGGAAGGCGCAGTTGGAAGTGCATGGCTGTCCCAGGTAATCCCAGATGCTGCTGTCCCCCTGCAGTCCTCCGGTGCCACCCCTAGCAATGCCCCTGGGAGGAGCCTTCAGGACAGCCACGCATATTTTGAGATCACTATCCTGTACTAACATGGAAATTACTTGTACTTACATGGAAATTGAATTGCCAGATCAACTGCATTTTCAACAGAAGCCAGAAATCTGCATGTTGGCAACTAATTTAAAAATTATTTGGAAATACTGTACAGGCACAATAAAACAGACATCCAGACAGCTCCAGATAACACATCTGAATTTGGAGAGAAGTGCAGTTGTGAATAAATTATAACCATTGTAGCCCTAACCAATTTGGCTCAGTGGATAGAGTGTCGGCCTGCAGACTGAAGGGTCCCAGGTTTGATTCCGGTAAGGACATGTACCTTGGTTGCAGACACATCCCCAGTGGGAGATGTGCAGGAGGCAGCTGATCGATGTTTCTTTCATTGATATTTCTAACTCTCTATCCCTCTCCCTTCCTCTCTGTAAAAAAATCAAAATATATTAAAAATAAACAAATATACCATTGTATATTAAGTCTAGATTCCTAAAATTTGAAACATAATTTTCCTATTCCAATTCCAATGCCACCAGTCAAAAGTATTTCCACTCCATGTTTGAAAAATCATGTATATTTTTATTTCCCATAAAATAAAACTGTCTTTCTAGCTTTTTTAAAAATAACTCAGCACCACCTCCTCCATTGAGATCGTATACATCAAAAGGAATAAAGCATCTCTAATATTTTCAATTTTATTGTTTAACTCCTAATTCCTCTCCCCATTTCCCACCTAGAAACTTCTGCATCCCATACAATAAAAATGTTGAGACCATCCTTAAGCTTTACATGCTTTAATTAAACATGTTTTCATATTTTTATTTATTCTGCAGCACCCACGAAACTACAAAACTCGGCATCAGAAACCCACAGCAGGATTTAGAAGAGCCTCGGGAGCAGCCTGCGAGCCCCAAGGAGGAGCAGGAGGAGCTGGCTTATGAATCGCTAGATAGTCTCGAACCACCTGCCGAACCAGTGCACTTAATTACTACTTCTCAATAATATTAGCAACCAAAGTGAGGTCAGATCAAGGCAAGGGAAAACTTGGGTCTTGAGTCATGGCTATTCTTGGAGAATGGGGAAAAGTAGCAGATATCAGGGAATGGTTCAAGTAAATCAAAGTGAAGCTCAGGGTGGAGGGAACATACCTGAGCTAAAGGTTCTTACTTTGTGCCCCACACTTAAATATTAGGGACAGAAAAAGGGCACAAGCCCCAAGGCTAGTCAGAAAATAAATGGGTTGAATGGGCTGGCTGTAAGGGAGTAGGGGACAGTAGAGCTGGAGTCTCTGCTGGAATACAGGCCTCGAATTGCCAGATTAACTGCATTTTCAACAGAAACCAGAATTACTTGGAAATACTATACAGGCAAAATAAAACACTTGGGGGATGATAAGTTTGCAACCTCTAGTACAGGGTTTCTCAGCCTCAGCACGATGGACATTCTGGGCTAGATGAATCTTTGTTGGGTGCAAGGACAGGGAGTCCTGTGCAATGTGGGATGTTTGCTGGCCTCTAATCACTAGCTGGCAGTAATGTCCTCCAGTTGTGACAACCAAATATGTCTCTAGATATTGCCACATGTCCCTAGGAAAGTTGGGAGCAAAATGTTCCCAGTTGAAAACCACTGCTCTAGTATAAGAGTGAAACCACAGGAAGTAAAAACTGGCATTTTAAGAATACAAGTAATACATGAACTCAATCTACATAGCACGATTATACTTGTCATTAACAAATTGAGAACTATAATTTAAAAAAGCAGTTCTTTCCTGTTATATATTTAGAATGTTATCTGTGAGCATGTGTGTGTCAGCATGAGGTTCACTTTAAATAAATCTGACAGCCATGATTTTCTACTAGTAAGTGATCTTTGGAATACTTCTCACTAACTATAATTAGATGTTTTCTCAGTAGCTGTAGAGACAGAATAATAGCAAGAGTGCCTACTCTAACAGAAGCACCTTTCTCATGTGTTTTTTTAACTTTCTGGGAAAATTCATTGCTAATTTTCCAGACTGTCATGGTTCTTTCTGGTGAGGACAGAGTGACACTTGGGCAATAGCTATCATCTGGGTTTGGTAGTTAGAGATGAAGATATTCATGTCATGTTCCCCAAGACTCCTGAGCTGTCTTACCTGCATGGAATCCTAAGGGTAAATCAATACCTTATCTTAAAGGTGAAGACTGAACTACTTTCTTAATCTTCTAAGAGAACAAATTCTGTCTAAAAACAATCCAAAGAACTGACTGGGCTATTTTGTTTATTTAAAGGGAAAACAACTGTAGTTCTGAATCATGTGATTTAACTTAAAAAAAAAAAAAGCCCTTTAAACATGCTACTGTATGTTCCATGAACAAAGAAGCAAAGTGACTAAGTAGAGGTGTATGGGACAAGATAGTACCTCAGCCTGGGCCAAGTAGGGATTCAAGTAATTTATTTGTTTGCAGCCCACTGGCGGAGAGTGTCTTACTCAGGTTGCTAAAGGGAGAATATCACAACAGAACTGACATCACTCCCTTCTCCAAAGCAACAAGGCATCTTGAAAGCTCAACTTCCTGGTGAAGTTTTATGGTTGGTGGCAGGACTTAGTTCATCCACGTGATATGACAGCAGAGGCTGGGATGGTAGCTCTTCATAGGAAAATCTCCTCTCAATAGTTATACTGAGATACGTCAGCCAAACATAATCAAATTCATTTTTTGGGAGAAGTCCATCCCCAAATTTTCCAGTGGGAAGAGAGGTAGGTACAGTTACCTAGCCCACATTCCCTGCTTTCTTCCTTTTCTGGGTCAGATGAGAGTCTGAAGAGAAGCTCTCTTGCATTCATCTTCTTTGCCAGGGGAGATGCACAGAGGAAAAAGCAGGGTCTTGTCATTCACAGATCCATTTGGATTCTGGCAGATTGTGAGCCATAAGCAAGTTGTTCCCACTGTATGCTCACTGGGATCGGATAGAGCTGCTCTTCAGGATGCAGTACCCATGCTCATGTCCGCCTTTCAGTTAAATCTCCTTGGTTTAGTAACTGTAAAAGAGTGCAACAAAATCTGGAATAGGGTACTGATGAATAAAAGAAAAGTAATTCATACTAAGTAAAAGGTTTATGAGTGGGATTGGGAAATGCACTGCAGGGGCTGAGTCAAGGATAGCTAATTCCAAAGCAAGAGCCATGCAGATACTGGCCTTGAGACCATCCTTAAGCTTTACATGCTTTAATTAAACATTTTTTTTCATATTTTTATTTATTCTGCAGCACCCATATGCTGTCATTTTCACTACGGCAATAAAATATCCTGAATCTATAAGTCAAACTATTGTTTGAATATTCGTGTACTTACCAGTCAGTGAAAGAGGAATGTATGACTTACAGGGAAATTAGAAATGGTGAGACCAAAAATCTTATGTCAGTGTTAGCTCAAGTACAGGCTGCAAGTTCAAGTAGAAATAAAAGGAATGGAAAGCTATTCCCAAAGAGTTCATGAGAGCAAGACCAGACTCGAAGAACTCCAGGGATTCCCTGGGCTTAAGGAACACCTTTCCTGTGATGAAATGAGACAAGCCTGGGACTCCAGCAGGGTGGCAGCTAGCATGGACATTCTGCTCTACACTTTGTTGAAAGGCGGTTTTGTACAATAATTGATGAAACTGCATTCCATTTTATTATGAAAAGAAAATGAGATAGGAATACAGTGAAATTTAGCATACAAATTTTGGTTTATTAAAATCTAATCAGATAAATTATTGACCTGGAGATGTATTTATTTGTTGACCTCAATTTGGATGACGGTAGTTTACAGAGAATGTAACAGTACAGAATTGAAAGACATTTAAACAAAGCACAAATTTCATTTGATACTATGTGGTAGGGATGTAAGAATGGTATGCTTCTAACCTAGGCCAAGATCTAGATGTTGGAACTAAAAAACTTAGCAATGGCATTTTATGAGAAATGGTATAGAATTTGTAATTTGTTTTATCTGGAAAACATGCTAAGATAGAGTCAAACTAGCTGGCAATCACTTATTCTGGTTCTTGAGTTCAAGAATGTGGACTCGCCCTGGCCAGGTAACTCAGTTGGTTAGAGCATCATCCAGGTGCGCCAAGGTTGCAGGTTTGACACTAAAACTTATTCCCTGATTTCCCTCAAGACTAGCACTTACTACAGCATGTAAAAATTGCCAGTTATTGATCCATCACCTTTCCCATTCTAACCTCTCTGCACAGCACCACTCCAGGGACACCATTTACATAGTTATGGAGTTATAAAAGGTAGAGGTTCCAATTCTGACTGTAAGTTCTTTGAGGCAGACATTGTATTTTATTTACATTGTACAACTAATACTCAGTAGAGGGCCTCATACATGTTAGGTACAAAATGTATGACGAATGAATTATGATTTTATACATCCGGCATTAGTTTGGGGTTGCTTGGAGTATTTCAATTAAAAAAAAAAAAGGATTTTGCCCAGCCGGTGTGGCTGACCCATGAATTGGGAGGTCACAATCGGAATCCTGGTCAGAGCACATGCCCGGATTTTGGGCTCCATCCCCAGTAGGAGGCATAGATGGATGATTCTCTTGTCATTGATGTTTCTATCTCTCCCTCTCTCTGAAATCAGTGACATTTAAAAAGTAAAATAAGCCGAAACCGGTTTGGCTCAGCGGTAGAGCGTCGGTCTGCGGACTGAAAGGTCCCAGGTTCGATTCCGGTCAAGGGCATGTACGTTGGTTGCGGGCACATCCCCAGTAGGGGGTGTGCAAGAGGCAGCTGGTTGATGTTTCTCTCTCATCGACGTTTCTAGCTCTCTATCTCTCTCCCTTCCTCTCTGTAAAAAATCAATAAAATATATGAAAAGTAAAATAAAACTTAAAAGTATTTAGCAGTATAGGAGAATAAAACTCCAAAGTTTCAAATATAAAAAAAGGTTGAGTGTTTCAGATTAGTTTTGCCAGGTAATAATTTGTAAGAGGGAAGACTGAACTGACTTTCAGAGCAATCCAATAGTTGGTGAGGAAAAGTACTTTTTTTTTATTAAAGAAAAGCAAGGGAAAAAAGAGAATTAGGACATCACCATTTTGCAAGCTCTAATGTAAAAATAGATTTAGGCCATGATCAATAATGTTTGCCAAAGTTTTTACTTAACTCACTAGTCAATCTTTTTTTTTTTTTTTTTTTAATATATTTTTGTTGATTTCAGAGAGAAAGGGAGAGGGATGGAGAGAGAGAGAAAGAAGCATCAATGATGAGAGAGAACATTGATTGGCTGTGGGAATTGAGCCCAAAATCCAGACATGTGCCCTTGACCGGAATGAAACCCAGGACCTTTAAGTCCACTGGCTGACGCTCTACCCACTGAGCCAAACCGGCTAGGGCTCACTGGTCAATCTTCAGATCAGTAAGAGAACAACTGATTATCATGTGTCTCCTGATGAGATGTCATAGGAAGCAAGAATGCCACGTATGAAATATTCTCTTGGGGGTTAAGGGGAAACATGAATCTAATCAAGATTCTAAATATAATTATCATCTTTTAGAAAATCTGTGAATAGAAAAATATATTAAATAACAACAGGAGTCAATCAGTCAAAATCAGAATGTTGGAAATTCTATAGGCAGAGTAACCCAATTCCTTAAATAGATAACCATACTGGGGGGGAAAAATTGTGGTTGGGTGTAGGTAACTATTTTAAAGAGAATTAAGAACTATTAAGCAATGCAATGTATGAGTCTTGTTTGAATTCTAATTCAAACCAACCAACTAAAAGACATACTATTTTCTCTATACCCTTTGAACATTTCCATAATAAAGATTTTAAAATAAATGAGGATAAAATAGATAAAGGAAGGTTATATAGGTGAGACATGTTCCAAAGCAATAACCAGGAGAAAGTAACTTAGGAAAGAACCAATGGACATGTGTTAGTTACATGCCACTGAATTAGCTCCAACTCCTAGTGAACACAGTGATGTTCGCGCCCTGCTCAGTCCTGTAGACTCGGCCACGGCTTCTCTCACGGAGCCTGCCCAGCTCCTGTTTGGTCCTCCTCTTCTCCTGCTGCCTTCCATTTCCCAGCATCACTGTCTTTCCCCAGAACCCTGCCTGCTCAGGTGTGCCGGAAACACGACAACTTCAGTTTTGTCATTTTGTCTCCAGCAATGTTTCAGGCTTAATTTTCATCTTGTTCATCTTTCTACAATAGTTCCATCCATCTAGTTCAGGATGTTCTTAAGAGCTTTCCTCCACCACATTTCAAATGAATCAATTTTTTTTTTCCTCTCAGCCTTCTTCACTGTCAAAAGTTTGCCTCTGTATATAGTAATTGGGAATATGAGCATATGAGTGATCTTAGCCTTGGTCTCCAATGACACATCTTTGCTCTTAATCATCTTAAAATCCCTCTTTAATTTAGATGATGATTCTCATACAATAAGCCAGTGAACACATTTCTATAAGACTATTTCAGCTTGGTATCTTCTAGACATATGACCCTTTCAAAATGAACAATAATTTGCCTTAACTGGTTTGGCTCAGTGAATAGAGCACTGGCCTGCAGACTCAAGGGTCTCAGGTTCGATTCTGGTCAAGGGCATGTACGTTAGTTGTGGGCACAATCCCAGTAAATGTGCAGGAGGCAGCTGATTGGTTTCTCTCTCATCAATGTTTCTAACTCTCTATTCCTCTCCCTTCCTCTTTGTAAAAAAAAAAATAAATAATATATATATATATATATATATATATATATATATATATATATATTTTTTTTTTTTTAAATAATTTTGTAAAATTATTTGTCAGTACTTTTTTTTTTTTTTTGCTGAAGTACCACTTTATCCAAGGATGTTATTTTCTTTATAAAAATAAAAGCAAACTCATCTCATAGTGAAGCAGAAACAGAAGGAGCAGATACTCATTAAGGCATGTGAATATAGAAAATTAAAACTGAGAATCTCACCTATAATTAACCAAGTTCTCAATTCAGGAAACCCTACAACTCAGGCTCCTTTCTGAGCTTAAAGGAAGATGTTCTATTCAAAGCTTCTGAGAAGCTGAAATTGGAGAATTTTTCAAATCCTCTGAACTAGATTCCCAATCACTCTCTGCATCAGTTTCCACAGCAACAAAACAAGGGCAAGAGACCATTTACCTCTTGTGGATTTACGGCAGTTAACACAGAAACCTCATAGGACTGCCTCCCTGACTGCATGGTCACCAAGTGATGTGTCACATCAGGCACTGAAGACAGGGGACGTGGGGATCCTTCAGCAAGCACCTCTGTGAAACAGCAGAAAAAAATGTTTCAACAAAAAGTGAATCCATAGATACCTACCTGCCTATTAAGCCTCTTAAGAATTTTTAAACTGTTCCCTGAAAAACTGAATCCCATGTTCCTGTATTTCTTACAAATTAATTCTATCTAAAAATTATTATCAGTGAATTTGAAAAGTACTATATTACAAAAGGGAAATGGGAAGAAAAGGCAAAAAATCTTGATATTGTTGCTGACCAGTTTTAAATATGCCAGAGTAATACGGCTTTATCATTGTTAACTGGATTAACACTGTTAACTGGATTAACACTGTGTAGGAAACAGGACAAAAGCTGCTTAGGCAGGCAAATCAGGAAACCAGAGGCCACCCTTAAAGCAGCCACCAATGATACAAAGAGTACAATGTGTGCAGGTCAAGAACTTAAACCTAGCTTCACTTCAAAGTTCCTACTCTGTGTCCCTTCCTCCTCACGACTTTCTTCCTTCAGGCAGCAAAGTACCTCCATGCAATTCCTGTGCCTCATGCTTTAGTTAGCCACGAGTATCGTTCATGAAACAGAGGAGAGGTAAGTGTAGAGCACATTCTAAGGCCTTGTCGGCGCCATGGAGAAGTTACACAGAAATGGTCATGGATGCCCCAAATAGACTGAGAACGATATGAATAACTAAAACACAGACCTCAGACTTATTCAGTGTTCATTAGTGATAACACTATGAAGATCTTTTGGAAATAGTTTATGTATAAACAGCCCTCAAATTTCAGTTTTAGTGACTTTTTTAAAACTTATAACTGCTCTTCTTTACTAGACCATATAATTAACACTTGCTTATTACTGTCTTCTGTTTCCCATGTGTAAGTTTTGACTTCTCAACTAGATTTAAGGTCCCTGTCTTCTACTTTTTAATCTTTCCCATGGTGCCAGGCATACAGTAGGCACTGAATACATGCATGCTGACCTCACCTGGAACGTTTTTCAGAGAAGAGGGCCTGGCCTGTGTAACTTGGGAGAAATTTCTACACCAGAGAGAAGCAACTGTTTCCTAGAGAGCCCTTCCTTTTCTCCCGAAGATACGGCTTTGATGGTATGGAGAAATTGCTTTATATCTCCTCTGTAAAACCTGGTTATGTTCTGTTTAAATGTTTTAAAAGTTAAGTTCTTCCATAACTGCAATAGGAAAAATAGAAATAGTTGGGCTAGGATGCTAGGATTATGGATAATCTTCTTCTTAAAAAGTTTTTTCTCTTTTTTGTTACATCATCTTTTCAATGAAAATTTTTTTTAAAGTTCACTTATCCACCCCAGACACAAAAAACACAAATGCTACTCAATCATAACACAGCTACTCACAAGAAATAAAATGAAAACCTCCATTTTGGAGACAACCCCATTCCTTAGTCTCTAGTGGCAGCCCACTTTCCCCAAATAAAGGAGAGCTGAAATTCTTACCATCATCAACTCCTAGGATGGAATTGGTATTTGGTAGGTTCAAGGACTCTCCACCAAGGCTGGGCTGGGGATTCACAGACACCAGGTTTTTACTGGGTACTGAAGTCTCTTCAAGCAAACTACTGCCCATTAGTGGCTCAGCTGCACAGAGAACAGGATGTGAGAGAGACAGCACTCAGGCTGCACCTGGTCCCCATTCTTTCACAGGAAGCCTGCCTTTTCTTTCTAAAAATTAACCTGCATTTTGGACACCACCTCCTGTTTCATCTACTTTTGAAAGCAAGAATAAGCCTATACGGAAAGGGTTCAGCCTTGCCTGTGAGCTGGATAATTAGCTTATAAAATAGGGTGAATGCCCTTAAAGAGCGTTTGGAGTGAAAGAACTGGTTAAGGAAAGACATGGAAAAGGAATAATAACAAAAAGTATCAAATTCATGGTAAAAAGGAGGTCATGACTGATAAGTAAAATACGCTTAAACTCTTGTCATACAGAAATCTTTATCACAGTGATACTCAAATGCTGGTTCATGGATCAGCACTAGTTACCATCCAACTCACTCAGGAACTTTTAAAACTACAGATTCTGATATTTTACTTCCAAATAATCTCACTTATCAGGTTGTTTTGTTTTATTTAGGAGGAGGAGTAGACAATATGAATATACTGTTTATATTTTAAAAGCTTGTGGCTCAGTGGTTGAGTGTCGACCTTTGAACCAAAAGGTTGCCAATTCAATTCCCAGTCAGGGCACATACCTAGGATGCAGGCTTGATTCCCAGTAGGAGGCCTGCAGGAGGCAACTCATCAATTCTTTCTCATCATCGATGTTTCTCTCTCTCCCCCTCTCCCTTCCTCTCTGAAATCAATAAAAATATATGTATTTTTTAAAAAGCTTGCAAAGGGCCCTGACAGGTTTGGCTCAGTGGATAGATCGGTGGCATGTGAACTCGAGGGTCCCGGGTTCGATTCCGGTCAAGGGTATGTTCCTTGGTTGTGGGCACATCTCCAGTGGGGGATGTGCAGGATGCAGCTGTTCTCTCTCATCGATATTTCTAACTCTCTATCCCTCTTACTTCCTCTCTGTAAAAAAATCAATAAAATATATATTAAAATAAATAAATTTAAAAAAAAAAAAGCTTGCAAAGAGTTTTACTGTATAGCTAGCTATGTTTGGAAACCACTAGCCCATCAAATGAGACCAAGTCTCTACCCAAAACAGAACGAGAAAATTCCCAGGTGACCAGGCATCCAGTTATTTGGCCAGAAACAGCGCTCCACCGAAGCCTGTCTCCTCACCAGTTTGCTCCTGCTCTTGACTCCCAGCTGTTCCCATCTGCAAGTGATGCTTTCTCATGTGCACGTTCCTGCTCCCGCTCTGAGAGAAAGTCTTCCCACAGACTTGACACTGATGAGGCTTCTCTCCTGAAACAGGGACCAGATTAAAACAGGGGAGCCAAAATGACAAGGTACATTCCTGACAACAAGAAAATGGACTCAAGGCCTAGATGGAGAAGCCCAGAGAATGTTCAATTATTGTACATAAGAGGCTGCTCCTTCTCCCACTTCTCACCTTCCCCAGCCTCTCAACCTTCAGTAAGAAGGCAGGAAAAGTACCCAAGGAAGACTTAGCATACTGTTCCCAAGCCCCAGTCAGTCCTTTCCAGACCCATTGTTCTGTTGCCTTCATAAAACATCTTTGCTATAAGGTCATGGTAGCCACACAGAATATTCACTTCCCTTTTCAGATACAGGCTTCCACAGGGCTCTAGGATCTGTACTATCCTCAAGGATTCCAACCCTGGGATCACAATACCCCCTTCTTCGCTTCCCCCGCCACCACTGTCCTCGTCTTCAGCATTCACCCTGGTGGTTCTGCACAATGATACGATACCTGAGTGAACAACCAAATGTTTTCGGAGGCTGGAATACTCAGCAAAGGAACGGCCACATCCTTGGGCTTCACAAAGGAAAGGCTTCTCTCCTAGAAACAGAAAATGAGATAAAGACTCAGTCTTCTGGTGAACTCTCTCACTCTCTTTTCCCACCAACCGTTTTCTGTTTCCAATGACTTACTCTGATTTCTTTAATTCAGGCCATATAATTTCAATTGGCTATCTAGCAAATGTCACCTCTCAATGTTCTGCTAGTATACAGCCCACCAGACTTCACTGCCCTTTTCTCCCTCCTGGCTCAAGAGCTGACCCTCACCTGCACTGACCTACCTCTTTAGTGACCACACCCCTCTGAGGACATCAAGATTAACAGTACATAATATATGCTGCTAGAATTTTAAACTTATAAACTTTAAACAATTCTCTTTAAGAATCAGTTTCTAGCCAAAACCGGTTTGGCTCATTGGTAGAGCGTCGGTCTGCGGACTGAAAGGTCCCAGGTTCGATTCTAGTCAAGGGCATGTACCCGAGTTGCGGGCACATCCCCAGTAGGGGGTGTGCAAGAGGCAGCTGGTCGATGTTTCTCTCTCATCGACGTTTCTAGCTCTCTGTATCTCTCCCTTCCTCTCTGTAAAAAATCAATAAAATATATTAAAAAAAAAAAAAAAAAAAAAAAAGAACCAGTTTCTAGCCCTAACCAGTTTGGCTCAGTGGATAGAGTGTCGGCCTGCAGACTCAAGGTTCCCAGGTTCAATTCTGGTCGAGGGCATGCACCTTGGTTGCGGGCACATCCCCAGTAGGGAGTGTGCAGGAGGTAGCTGATTGATGTTCCTCCCTCATCAATGTTTCTAACTCACTATCCCTCTCCCTTCCTCTCTGTAAAAAAAACCCAGAATCAATAAAATATATATATTTTTAAAAAGAATCAGTTTCTAGATCCATTAAAAAAAGATTTTTAAAGTTATAAAGTAGATATTATATATTTTCATTTTATAAAAAATAAAATAAAAACATGTAAAGGTACACCAAAAATCTATAAAACATGTTAAAAGTAGTGGTATTATAAATTACTTATTTTCTTTCCACTTTTCTGTAAATTTTTTCTACAATATTACTTAGTTATTTAAAAATCAAACATGCATGGTAAAAACTGAATAAAGCCTGTGGACTAAGTGGCAGTACTGTTAACATCCTGGCTTTGATATCGCACTGTGACTGTATAAGGTATCACTTTCTGGGGAAGTGGAGGAAGAACACACAAAACTTTTTGTACTATTTTTGCAATTTCCTGTAAGTCTATAATTTTTTCAAAATAGAAAGTGAAAAAAATCAGATGTAGTCTCTTGTCCTCTAGGGGTCACAGACTAATGTGAGAGAGATAAATGTATTTATAAATAACACCAGTATAAATTCTTCTACAAAAAGGGCTATGCATTTGGAGAGGGAAGAGACTCTGATTGTGGTATTTTTTAAAGAAGCTAAATTTAAGCTGGTCATAAAAGATGACAAAGATGGAAGGAAATTCCAGGCACACAGAATAGCATAAGCAGAGCCTTGAAACTGAGAGCACCCAGGGCAAGTTCAGAAAACAGCAAGTGTGAAGTAACAAGAAATATATACACTGGCCTCTCCCCTGGTTCTCAACACAGAGTTCCTAAAATCCTTATAAGTAAGGGCACTAGGAGACTCTTCTGTTCTATCATTTAGCCTTTAATCCCCGTTGCTGATGCAGGTTTCTAACACCCTTATAAATTTCTTAAGTGACAGAACACTAGGAGCATCTTTTGTTCTAATATTTGGGTTTGATCTTGGTTTACGACACAGTCTCAAATCCCTTGGAATTTCCTGGGTAACAATGTCTGTTGTTTAAATGAAATGACTCTTTGTGGGCTCCTGGATGGACCATCCTATGATTAGCAAGTTGGAGTTTTCAGTCTATGAGATGGAGCCTCCATAAAACCCCAAAGGCACACGGTTCAGAAAGCTTCTGGGCTGGTGAACACATCTACATGCTGAGAGGTTTTGCAGAGATAAAGTACAAAAAAGAAGAGGAGGCTTAAAAGGCAATGTTGCATTATGGTTAAAGCATGACTTACTTGACCCTGAGTTCAAATCCTGACATTACCACTTATTAGTACGGGAAAGATATTTAACCTCTCCAAGAATTAATTTTGTTTGTGTGTTTATAATCATCACTAGAGGATATGTTGATTGATTTGAGAGAAAGAGAAAGGGAGAGATTGGCTGCCTACCCTAAGTGCCCCAACCCTAGATCAAACCCCCAATCTGGGTATATGCCTGACCAGAAATCCAATCAAACCAGCAACCTTTGCGGCGTATGGAACAATGCTCAAGCCAACGGGGCAGCCCAACTGGGGCTCCAAGAATCAGATTTTTATCCATAAAATGAACATGATACAATCTCAGAAGATTATTTTGAGAATTAAATGAGATAACTCAAGTATTCAGGACAGTGCCTGGCATAGTAAGCTCTCCTGGTAAGCCACTAAAATTGGCAGCTCTGCCGAAACCGGTTTGGCTCAGTGGATAGAGCGTCGGTCTGAGGACTGAAAGGTCCCGGGTTCGATTCCGGTCAAGGGCGTGTACCTTGGTTGCGGGCACATCCCCAGTAGGGGGTGTGCAAGAGGCAGCTGATCGATGATTCTCTCTCATCGATGTTTCTAACTCTCTATCCCTCTCTATTCCTCTCTGTAAAAAATCAATAAAATATATTTTAAACGTAAAAAATAAAATAAAATTGGCAGCTTTGCCATTTTCTAGCTACATAATGTTAGGCAAATTATGTAATTTTCTAATCTTCTGTTTCTTCATCAATAAATACAGTCTGTAATGAATAAAGTTACCTTAAAATTAAATAAGATATACATATACACACACACACATATGTGCTTGGCACATATTAAATTACCTCAATAAATACTAACTTTTATTATATTAATTTTTAAAATATTTTTTATTGATTTTTAGAGAGAGGAAGGAAGAGAAAGAAACATCAATATGAGAACAAAACATCAATTGGCTGCCTCCTGCACATCCCCTACTGGGGATATGCCCTTGACCAGAATGGAACCTGGGACTCTTTAGTCCACTGAGTCAAACCGGTTAGGGCAGTTTTTTTGTTTTGTTTTGTTTTGATTTGTTTTAATTCAAACTGCTTTCTTGGAGCAAGTATAGTTTCCTTTTTCTTTTCTTTTTTTTTTTTTTTTTTAAATATATTTTATTGATTTTTACAAAGAGGAAGGGAGAGAGATAGAGAGCTAGAAACATCGACCAGCTGCCTCTTGCACACCCGCTACCGGGGTGTGCCCGCAACCAAGGTACATGCCCCTGACCAGAATCGAACCCGGAACCTTTCAGTCCGCAGACCGATGCTCTACCACTGAGCCAAACCGGTTTCGGCTACCTGCTGTTATTTTTGTCATGCAAGAATGAACAAGGAAGAGACAAAGGAAGTGGCAAGAAAGTAGAGAAGAGTTACACATCCTGAGGCAGTGGTCTGAGTTCAGTGAGTAAGCTCTGACCTGGCAAGAGACTTAGCACATGCTGGACAAGTGGCTTGGAAAGTCACCCTATCCTTCAGGTGTCCCCTCACGTCTCCTTCTCAGACTGAGAGCCAGGGTATCTTTATTTTTCCGCTTTGATATGAACATGTTTGACCCAGAACAAGTGATTTCTCTATTCTGTTTCTCATGCTCTAAGGCCCTAAAAGCAAGTTCCTCAAAGTCAGGGATTATATCTTTGCCTTTGTATTTCCCCCATCTTTCCCCATTCAATGCCTAGGAAAGGCTCTGAAAGGTTTCTGTGACTCAATATTCACACCCAATTTACAGTTGTGTAATATTCAAAGATATCTGGAAGGACTTATTTTGTCCAGTTCTGATATCATTGCTGTCAGAGGTTTTATATTCCTTTCTACACTTTAGGCTCCTAGAGGCAGAAATTAACACTGTCTGTTTCTCACACACAGGTGAAAGCTCAAGAAATGTTACTGAATGAATTGAAGAGTGCCATAAGGAATCTGAAAAAAAAAAAAAAACACAAAAAAATCCATTTTCATAGTTCTAGCAACAACCTTAGACCTTCGCTGCTATTTCCACCTCAGAGCCTTTCCTAAGGATATGTTAGCAAGCACTAAGCCAAACAGTCGTCCATGGGAAGGTTAGGGTTGCACACACCTGTGTGGATCCTCAGGTGGTTCTTCAGATTCCCAGCTGTAGTGAACTGCTTACCACAGCTAGACTCGGGGCACATAAAGGGCTTCTCTCCATTGTGGGTCCTCATGTGCACCTTCAGCCTCTGCAGCACATAGAAACTTTTCCCACAACCTTCTGCAGGGCAGATGAAGGAGCGGTCATTTCTGAAAAACAAAAACGCATGAGCAACCATACTGGAGATACTGGTTACCTGAGGTTTGTTAACACTACTGATGCCCAGGCCCTTCTTCTCAAAATATGGATTTCATAGGCTTAGGGTGGGGCCCACGCTTATGCATTATTCTTTTTAAGTTCTCCAAGACGTTATATTTATAATGAGATTTGAGAACTCTTGCTGCCGTTCATTTAGATGCCAAATGTCTGATTAAATATTTGCCAAGAATGAGATAAATGAGACGATGATGATCTTTCTACTAAAGAACAAAAGACATCTGAAGCACAGATGAGTGGCAGCCCTTGCTTTCCTTTAATTTATCAATTGGGGCTACAGGTTCCTCTAGAAACATCAATGTCTTTGGCTCCAAGTATGGCGCCTCAGCTTTGCTCACCGATGAGTTTTGAGGTGGTACTTAAAGTGAGCTGGCCACACAAACGTCCGGTCACAACCTTCAACTGTACACTTGAGCTTCTTTTCCACTTGAGGAAGGGGCCCGGACTCTTTGGGTTGCCCATCACCAGAACCAAGGTGGACGTTTTCTCCTATAAGAGAGTCACATATTTATAATCCAGGAAAAAACCCTGCTCAGATACTTTAGTTCAAGCAACAAGGCTCCCATATTTTATTTCTAGTGATCAATTATCAAATACCTATCTTCATCTTCCCCAACTCTTTGGATCCATTTAACACAGGAAGTGAGAGTGTTCCACATGCCCATCCCCTCTCTCCAGAGAACTACCAAAGCCATCGTGCTTTGTTGCACAGACTAGGCCTCTTGGCAAATGTAAGAAATGTCAAAAATGGTTTTATATCAAAAAGCAGAGTTAAACCTACTTTGTATTACACAGATTGATGAGAAGGCAGATATGTCAACACCCAGAGTGGAGTGACTTAAAGTGATAGGTAACAAACTTGTATTTTAAGGAGGAACAGCCATTCTGGCTTAGTTCTGGGCTTATGGTAGTTAATTTCTTTTGTAGATGGCCAATCTTTTTCTTTTTTAAAATATATTTTATTGATTTTTTTTACAGAGAAGAAGGGCGAGAGATAGAGAATTAGAAACATCAATGAGAGATAAACATCGATCAGCAGCCTCCTGCACACTCCCTACTGGGTAGATGCCCACTACCAAGATACATGCCCTTGACTGGAATCGAACCTGGGACCCTTGCGTCTGCAGGCTGACGCTCTATCCACTGAGCCAGACCGGTTAGGGCAAGCTGAAAATTCTTACGAAAAATGATTTTAAAGTTGGTCAAGGCTGCCACTTAGGGAAAACTTTTTTTTTTTTTATAGACTCACGTGGCATGTAGGGAAGGTCGGCCACTTGCATCTACAGATGCTTATGGCATACAATGGGTTAAGAATGCAAAAACTCAGCAGATTTAAAAATTTCTAACCACACTGTAAAACGTGAGAGATAGTATCTACTGAAGTTTTTTGTTCAACAAAATAAGAGGAGGAGAGAGAAGCACACATTGCAGTACCTCCTTAAATCTAACTAAATCAGTTAATTAAAAAGTATTTATATTCCAAAGTAGCAGGTGGTGCTCCTTTCCTTTTATTTTCTTTCAGACATAGTTGGACATCAATTGAGAAAAACATTCATGTAATTCTGCCATAGGCATAAAGACTTTATCTTTCCACTCATACATACCTTAGAAAGACAAGGGTTGGGCACACATGTTGTTCCTATCACACTCCCTGGAACCTGACAGTTGACCAAAGGCAGTGTCTGTCCCATCTGTTGATCTTATTCTCTTCCTGCCCTACATTCGCCTTCTTGTACTGCATCAATGCTAGTCATAAAACTAATTGCTCCAAGGTCAAAGTAAAAGCTAAGATGCCTTCTGATAGTTAATACTAACTTCCTCTTTTAAAACACAGTTTTTTAAATGTGTTTAATTGAAAAAGTAATACCTGTACATTGGTAAAATTTAAACAGCACACATCACAAAGGAAATTTTCCAACTCCAAAGCTCCACCTAATTAATGTCTAAGGAAAGGTCTGCAGAAACCCCTCGCTAATCCAGAGATTTAAGCCTGTGACAGTTGGGGCTCTGTGCATTCAATTTTGTAGATACAATGATATAATTATAAAGCAGAAGAAAATCCCTCAGAAAAGAGCAGCTGCCTAGTATCTGAGTCCTTACAAAATCACTCAAAGAAGTGCACCCTCAATTACTGCAATGTTGTTTGTTTGTTTTTTGTTTGTTTGTTTTGGGGGGGGAGAACTGTTTGCTGAAGACAGATTAAAATGACTTTAACAATGATAATTTTGAATATTTAGAGGTCACTGGTTCAAACATTTAAATAAAGAGAAAGACAAAAAAATTCAACACCTCATATTGCAGAAGCTGGATAACAACTGTAAACACTTTAAATCTTCTACAGTTATACCAGCAGGTCTTTGCACTTGGGATACCAATTTCCAGTGAGGTTATATTTAATATATAGCAAGGATCGGTCAACTTTTTCTGTAAAGGGCCAGATAGTAAGTATTTTTTACTATGAGGGCTATATGATCTCTGTCATAGTACTGAACTTTGTCATGGTAGTTGCCATAGACGATTTGTAGAACTAATTGGCATGCTAGTGCTCCAATAAAACTTTATTTACAAAAACAGGTGGGTATTTGGCCCATGGACCTTTGCCTACCCTGATATAAGCATCAAATGCAAAATTAAATTTTGTTGTTGTTGTTGTTAATCTTCACCAAAGGATATTTTTTCCATTGATTTTTTTTAGAGAAATAAAAGGGAGGGAAGGAGTGGCAGAAAGAGAAAGAGAAAGAGAAAGAGAAAGAGAAAGAGAAAGAGAAAGAGAAAGAGAAAGAGAAAGAGAAAGAGAAAGAGAAAGAGGGAGGAAGGGAGGAAGGAAAAGAGGAAACCCACCCCACGCCCACGAGATGCTGAATATTTCAGGATCCAGAGATTAGCAAAAGCATCATAGGAAGAATTTGATCTTCAGTAGGATAGGGCCTAACCACCTGCCTTTCTAAGTTCTTAAGTGATACTGATGATCCAAGGATAACATTTTGAAAATCACTGGGTAGAGAAAAGTGGCAGAGGAAGTAGTATAGACATGCTGAACTCAAAAGAAAAAATACAGGGGGAAGGGAAAGGCTAGAAGGGTTCAATTGGGGGGGGGGGGGGGGCGTGAGGGGGAATGTACATCTATATTACTTTCAACAATAAAGATAAATCTAAAAAAAATTAAAAATAAAGGTTAACATTAAAAAAAGAAATGAAACAATACTACAGCCCTCATAACTAGCTGCTAACTTGTCATGAGCAAATTTCATTTTGTCAAAATATAACCATTGCATTACCAAAATTTCTGCACAGAATACTGGAAAACACCACAGGGGTCTCACCATTGCTGCTGGTTTTTGCATTCTTTGCCAGCTGTGCACGAGTAGCAGCAATCAGACTGTCATGGGCCAACTCCTGAACCCGGAGGAACCATGGAATGCTACTGTCCGTGCTCTCACTGGAGAGGAAATCATTCCCTGAATCCTCTGCCTCATCTTGTACAAATACTAAGTGCTCGGCTGAAGAGCTCAGACCTGGTAGAAACAAGAAGATATATGAAAGTTAGCCATCAAGTAATCCTTTTATTGGAACCCTGTGTCTTGTATCAGCTGTTCCAGATTTTCACTGACCTCAAGCTTCAATTCTCACACAAGATTAGGTATCACCTTTCCGCTCCAGCCTACAGACTTGTCTTCATCTTACCTCCTTTATTTCCATGGCAAAGTTGTCCTTCCTGGCAACCCGGCTAACCCCTTCCTCTGGTATCCCCACCCTGCCCTTTATTATCCCATGTCTCCTTCAGCTGTCTCTTCTCTACAGGCCAGCTTAAGGCCTCTCTCACAGTCTTTAAACCTGTTAAAGCTCAAGTCTCTTCCATCTTTACTTTTTTTAAAAGAACAACAAGTCCCAAGTACTTCTCTAGCTGCCCACCTTCATCTGTTCCTTCAAAGTTAACTTTCTTAAACAAGTGTAACTGCTAACTTGCATATTCACTTTCTCACCTGCCACCTACTCCCCATCTCTCTCGCTCTCGCGCTCTCTCTCTCTCTCTCTGTTTTTTTTTTTTTTTTTTTAAATCCTCACCCAAGGATATTTTTTCCATTGACTTATAGAGAAAATAGAAGGACGGAAGGAGGAGGGGGCAGAGAGAGAGACACATGGACTGGTTGTCTCTTGTAGGTGCCCCTACTAGGGCTGGGGAACCTGTGACAGAGGTACATGCCCTTGACCAGGAATAGAACCTGCCACCCTTCAGTCCACAGGCCAGTGCTCTAACCACTGACCATCTGGCCAGGACTACTCCCCATCTCTTTAACCCTGCCCTCCACCTCTGTCTACTACTGCAAAAACAATTGCTCTTGCTAAAGTCACTAGTCCTCATCTCACTAGCCCATTCTGAAGTATTTGGCATGATTTAGTAACCTTTCTTCTTTAAAACGTTTTCCTCCCTTGGATGCCCCTACACCACTCACATTCTATTTCCTTATTAAATGTATTAGGATGGCATTGGTTAATAAAATTATATGTTTCAAGTGTATAGTTATGTAACACATCATCTGTATATTGCATTGTATGTTCACCAACCAAAGTCAAATCTCCTGTCACCATATATTTGATCCTCTTTACCCTTTCCTACCTCCTCATCACCTTCCTATTCTTCTGTTATCCTCATAAACGTCTGGGTTTTTTCCCATAGTCCCAGATTTGTCTATTTTTCTGTTGATGTTCTAGACTAGTGGTCGGCAAACTCATTAGTCAACAGAGCCAAATATCAACATTACAACGATTGAAATTTCTTTTGAGAGCCAAATTTTTAAACTTAAAACTTCTTCTAATACTACTTCTTCAAAATGGACTCTTCCAGGCCGTGGTATTTTGTGGAAGAACCACACTGAAGGGACCAAAGAGCCACATGTGGTTCATAAGCCGCAGTTTGCCAACCACAGTGCTAGACTACTACTGAATCAAAGAATCCTGCTCACTGTTTCATACAGTTCCTGAATGCTGATAAGCACCAAAACTACATACTTCATAACAGACCTCTCTACAGCTCTGGATTTGTTTCTAACACTGAAGGATTCCTCCTCCTGGACGTCCCTCCCATAGCTCAACATCAACAGGCACAGGTAAGAACTAATCATCTTCCCTCCAGCCCTTTTCTTTATCTTGGTGACTGGCACCACCTAATTTCCCATACAAGAAACTTTTGAGTCACCCTAGAGTCTTCCCTCGCTCTATCCACATTGAATTGATCACTAAACTATACCAATTCTCCAAAGTAATAAAATAATAAAGCTTCATTTCAAGCATGACTGAGTTAAATATGGCCCACCATAATTTTTTTAAAGCATGAGCAGAGTTCAGAAAAGGATAAAAAAAAAATACCTGCTCTTGTTAGGTTAAGAAGAATAAAAGAAGTGCTATCACTTGGCTGTAGATCTTGCAACAGGCTAGGGGACTCTGGAGTGGACAGAAACTCTGGGGACTTCTGTACAGTCTGAGCCCTTGTCTCTTCTCCATCTGGGCCCACATTCACCTGAAGGCTTCTTAACACAGCTGAAGGAGGGATCTCCTTGGAGGAGTTAGTATGATTTGGAGTATCATCTAGTAAAGAAAAAATAGTGAAGTTTCATAAAGCACCTATTTCCCAAGAGCTCACAATTTTGATACATAGCACCTAATACCCTTTTAACATTCATTAGTATCTAACATCCATATAGGAACAGACAACATTTTCATTTTACAAATACAAAATTTGCCCCAAAATACAAAAAAAGCCAAAAGAGATGGCTTTAAGTTCTAAAGGGAGTCAGCCAAAAAGTGAGGGATATACTCCTCTAACACCTGGCAGTAACTAATAACCAACCATCCACATTTGGAATTATAGACCTTTGTCCTTTGAGGCCAGAAATCAGTACTTTTCCCTTAAAAAATATGGTTATACAATAAATACTAACCTAAGAATAGGCTCTAAACTTTAAATTATTTTTCTTTGGGAGAGATCCCTTCCATGTATGTGACAGTTCTGGTGAAATACTGAGGAAGAGGGGGGAGCAGAGCTGGGGAAATAACTGAAATTTTATAGAATCATCAATATGTTTCATTATAGCCTAGATTTACACTGGATATAAAGAAATAATCAAATACTTTCTAATTTTATTGTAATATAGAGATGAATTTACAAAGGTTTTGGTTGCAATATAATGAGGATCTGAACTACAGTGCTGAAGCATCCATTGTTTTCTAGGGTTTCCTTCATCTTTACCAAAGGCAGATAACATTTTTCCTATTTTAAGGGGATAATAGACAAAATTATAGGAATAGAAGTGGAAGCCTAGGGGCAGTTTTGCCATGTCAAAGCCTAATGAAGTTGCACAACAATATAAATACACTTACTAATGCCATAAAATTGGTTAAATGGTAAATTTTGTTATGTATATTTTACCACAAAAATTTTTAAAAATAAAGCTCATAGAGACACAGTTTGTCACTGAACAATAGAAAATAAGTGAATATTCATCAATTGTGGTGGCATCAATATTGTGATACACTCATATAACAGAATACCCGCACATGTGTCAAACACAAGGCCCGAGGGCCAAATCCGTCCCGCCAGGCCTTGCAATGTGTCATCACTGCACTCCGCTGCGTTTCCATCACAATGACAGTTTATGACTGTTCAGTAAACCATTCGGCCTGCGATTTAGGCTGGATTTTAGATTTTGGCCCCTTCTCTGATTGAGTTCGACACCCCTACCCTAGAGCAATAAAATCAAACAAACCATAGCTACACACATAAGAATGAGTCGGATTAATCTCACAAATACAGAGTACTAGCAAAGAAAGAAAGGTATAACACACTTGCATGAATTTAAAGTCCAAAAACAGCTAAAATCAAACTGGGTTACTTAGACTTGGGTAATTACTGGAAACTTGGAAACAAAGAACTATCTCAAAAGCTAAGGACAGTGGTGACCTATGAACAACAGAGGTTATCTTTATCAGAGAGAGCTCCTATGGAGGGCTTAGGAGCTGGCAATGTTCTACTTCTTTATTAAGTGGTTGGTATCTTCCTTACAATAATTCAATATGTATATCCATATGGTTTTATACTTTTCTGAATCTATCATATATCTCAAGTAAAAAGAAAACATGCCGGCCATCCATAGAATGAGGAATGAGATTAGGGAGGTTTGTGCAGATACATTTGCTATTGTAATATTGTATTCATGAGCTAAGAGGTGAGTGCATGACTTTGCATTTATTATCTATTGTATAATTGGTTCTTGAAAATATTTTAAATCAAATTAAAACTAAAGAAGGTAATGTGCAAAAGAAGACATGCTTTTGTTTCTGTTTTCATTTCCTTTATTATTGTTAAATATTTATTCAATAAGTTAAAATTGGGGGGGAAAGAGACATGTTAATACTCAGTAAAAAATAAAATCATAAGCTAAAATTGGGAGAGAAAAGTCAGGGGGAAAGCCTAATGAAGATCAAAATTTATTAGCAAGTAGAAATTTTCATACATTGAAAATCCATAAACATATGGAAAGACTCCCAATATACTATTAGAAAAATGGGAACTGAAAGGTAGGAAATGTGGAAAACTTGGAGCTAGTTAGGGAAACCTTACATCAACATTTGGTTAATTCATTATACAGTATCTGCCCTTCTTGAATCTTTAAACACGGAAAAAAATTTAGTCACTTGAAAAAAATAAAAGAAAAAGGAACACCACTAGAACACAGTAACCAGAAGACTATAACAAATAATTTGTCACCAACAAATATTGATCCTCACCTGATTTAACATTAGTATTCCAAATTTTAAAACAAGGACCAGGAAACAAAGAATTCACTGCATCTAAAAATAATGTTCTCCTTGGTAATAGTCAAGATTAGCAGCTTTGGATCACCCTCTTCCCATCCACAGCTAATAACCTCACTTCCCTATGCTTAGCACTCTACTTCATTTTACCTTTCCTGAAGCCTCCTCACCAATTATCCACATTTTCTGTCCACAACTTCTCTAACTGGCTCTTTTCTTTTAGCAAAAAAAACACCCTTAAATATTTCAAATCTGAGAAAAGAATTTTTCCATCTATCTTACATCCTTCTCTTTTTCCTTCCCATAGCAGGAGAGTCTTTACAAAAGTGTAGATACTTCCTCTATACTTACTTTACACAAGGATCACAATCCACTGCAGCCTGGCTTTCTACCCCTTCCATGGAACAGGTCCTGGTAGGTCAACAATGGCTTTGTTGACTTATCTCACTGGGCCTCTTAGGAACATGTGACACATTGACTGTTCCCTGGGGTTCCATGCCTGTACTCTAAACCACTATTCCTATACTACTCTAGACTTCCCTTCTTCCCTCCAAGGCATTCTACCTTAGCCTTCTTTCCTTCTCACCTTCATATTCTATGGTGATCATAGCCATTCCTCTGGTGTAAACTATCAATGCACTATGACTCCCACAGCTCCTTTTTCTCCACAATTCCTAATTTTTACAGTTTCCACCAGTCTGTTACAAAATCAGTCAATCCATTCCACCAGTACCATAGAGTACGCTAAGCTCTTAGGACTCATTTATCGTAACTGTAGTGTTCTTAATTTTTACCTGGTAACATTAGCCGACTGCATTCTGAGGCCTCAGTCACTGGAAGGAGGGACAAGCAAGTAATGTCTTTAGCTTCCGATTCTACTAGCCCCTGTCCCAATGGGATGGATGTATTCTGAACAAACTGTACCAGGAGCTAGGGAAAGGGGAAACAACAAAAAGATATACAAGTTGTTAGGAATGGTTATAAACACCTGAATTTCCCAAAAGGTGATGATGTAATCAAGTCTTAAATACTCACTAGTCTCAGCCATATTCATTGTAAAACTAAATTTACAACAAACAAAATTTAAAGTTCTTTTTATCAAGCATCTGTTCTGGAGAAAGGCTGAATTATGTAATTAATTTAACCTCTGTCATCTTCCACCAAAGAAATAATAAAAATAATTATATTTTTAAATGATGGCTATTAAAAACTCAACTGCACCGAAACCGGTTTGGCTCAGTGGTAGAGCGTCGGTCTGCGGACTGAAAGGTCCCAGGTTCGATTCTGGTCAAGGGCATGCACATTAGTTGTGGGCACATCCCCCGTAGGGGGTGTGCAAGAGGCAGCTGGTCGATGTTTGTCTCTCATCGACGTTTCTAGCTCTCTATCCCTCTCTCCTCCTCTCTGTAAAAAATCAATAAATATATTTAAAAAACAAAACAAACAAAAAAACCAACCGCATTGTACCAATTACATTTTATAAAACACTTTTCTGAGTATTGGCTCTTTTAAGCCTCACTATAAATCAGAAGGCTTGAACATGTATTTTATTTTTTATTTATTTTATTTTTTTCCTTTGGGAGGTCATTTGAGATACTGGTGTTTTTATTTTATTTTTTCAGGCTGCATGCCTTGTTTATTTTTCTTTAATTAATTAATCTCTTTATTGATTAAGGTATCACATATTCTCAACCCCCCATTCCCATCCCCCACCACTCCCCATGTATGCCCTTCCCCCCTGTTGTCCTTGACCTTGTTAGGCTCATATGTATGCACACAAGTCCTTTGATTGATCTCTCCCTTTTATCCCCACCCTCCCCTACTCTCCCTCTGAGAATGCCTCAGATGTCTGATCCATGCCTCCTTGTGAACATGTATTTTAAAGATAAGGAATCGAGTTGAAGACACTGGATGACTTTCTAAGGTCATAAGACTAGTTAGAAGCAGTGTCAGTCTTCAAACTTAAGTAATTTGATTCCAAATTCAGTGACTTTTCATTATGTAACACAGATATATTTAAATTAAAATGAGAAAAATAAATAAAAATTTTAAATGTTGTCTTGGCCGGTGTAGCTCAGCTGGTTGAGGACCATCCCATGCACTGAAAGGCTGCTGGTTCAATTCCTGATCAGGGTACATGTTCAGGTTGCAGCTTGATCCCCAGTAGGGGGCATGCAGAAGGCTGGAGATCAATGCTTCTCTTTCTCCCTCTCTCTCTAAAATCAGTAAAAAGATATTTTTTTAAAAAAAATGTTGTCCTGGCCAGTGTGGCTCAGTTGGTGGGAGCATTGTCTCATACACCAAAAGGTAGCAGGTTTGAGTCCTGGTTGGAGCACATACCTAGGTTGTGGATTTGATCCCTGGTTAGACCACATGTGGGAGGCAGCCAATTGATGTTGTATTCTCACACTAATGTTTCTCTCTCCCTCTCCTTTCTTCTCTCTCTAAAAATCAATAAAAATTCTTTTTTTAAAAAAAGTTTAAGTCCTCCAATTACATTTAGAAAGAAAATACTTTCAGACATATGCAAAATTAATAAAAAAATGGTTTGTGGTAGTAAATATTTACATATGTATACACACATTACCCACATATGCCATGTATAAAATATAAAATTTTGTCATATAATTATCTAGATGTATAACTTTATTCTTATTAAATACCAAATATTAAAAGTAATGAGGTAAAAATGGAATTCTTAAATCTTTGAAAAAGTACTTACTAAGAGAAAAATAATAAACTAGTAGTTACTATCAAAACAATATGGCCCCAAAGACTAAAATTTTACTATCTAGCCCTTTACAGGAAAAGCCTGTTGACCCCCAAACTAAATAAATACAACCTTTGGAATACAGCCCACCAAAAAGAAAACAACAAGCTGATTTGGCTCACCTCTGGTTTGGATTCTAACTCATCTGATAACATTGATTCAGCTTCCAAATCCTATAGCTGTTCAGGGGACAAGTTAAAATTTTAATTCAAAGTCAACAACACCTTCCTGTTTATGCTCATATTCCTCTAGGACATGCTATGCTTTTCCTGTAAGATGCTGTGCTGGGTGGGTAATCAATTTAGCCTAAAATGAGGGAAAGAGAGAGAGAGAAAATATTAAGAGCAGAGGAAAAATGTAGCTAAATAAACAAAGACTTTATCTACTGTAATAATCGTAAGTTGCATGTCCTTTTCCACTGTTTCCACCCTGGTGTATCCACAGCAAGCAATAAAGAATTCCTCCTAAAACAATTGTTTTAAAATAGAACAAACCCAGTAGGTATCAAAACCCATAAAGTTTTACTTTGATGTAGAATTTCTATTTTTACTAATCTATTCTAACGGAAGTTCTTAAATATGAGAAAAGCTATATGTCCAAAGAATTTCATCTTATCATCTGTGATAATAAACTTCAAACAACATATAAATACATGCATATACCCAACAATTGAGGAGTGTTGATTAAATTATACCCAATAATTAGAAAATGTTGGCTAAATTACAAAATTACAAAAACAAAATATGAGCCCTGGCTAGTTTGGCTCAGTGGAAAGAGCATCGGCCTGTGGACTGAAGGATCCCAGGTTCGATTCTAGCCAAAGGTTGGTGCCTGGGTTGTGGGCTCGATCCCCAGTAGGGGGCATGCAGGAGGCAGCCAATCAATGATCCTCTCTTATCACTGATGTTTCTCTCTCTCTCTCTCTCTCTACCTCTTCCTCTCTGAAATCAATAAAGAAATATATTAAAAATATATATATATATGAAATTACACACTTGTCAGTACTAAAACTAGTTAAGGTAAGAATAAGAAAAAGTGAAAGGAAATTCACACAGCTATGATAGTAGTTAATTGGGTGGCAGGCTGGTTTGACTATTTTCTCAATTTCCCCATTTTTCTAAAAATATTTATAGAATCAGTCAAAATTTGAATAATATTTTCCCAAAGTAGTACTCTCAGGACCCTGATGCAGCTGTTTTCTCCCCATAATTTAAATTCTTACTTTTGAATAGCTTAATTTCCCCCCTGGGATTTTGGTAAAGTGAGTTCACTTTATTTTGTACAATTACTGTTAAAATTGGCAGCGCTACTATATACGAAGTGATCATACAGTGTAAAATGCTCTCAAGATGAAAGCTTTCAATTAATACCAAGGTAAAGTGAAAAGTTAGAAAAATTCACTCTACAAATAGAGCATTTAGATGTACCTGAATAAGTGTTATTGCCCTGATGGTTCCTTCCTCGCCCTTTTGTTAGCTGCCAGAAATCGGTATTTTTCATCATTAAAAAATTGACAAGATGTAAATAAAATGTTGTTTCCCACATAAAGTAGCGTAAATCTCCAACTTTTCCTTTCACACACGTTTTTCTTATGCAAGTACTACAATAGCTCAATGTGGCTTATCCATCCCTCTTTTACATTGAAAGGAACCAAGGCTCAATGTATCACTTGTCCAAGTTATTAAACTGCAGAGCCACAGTCCTACCACAGAGGAGGTTGGCATGAATAGTGATTACATCTCTCAAATTTGATCTTGAATCAGCAGGGCTTAAGAATTCTCTTTTCCCAATTCCAGCTCATCTCAAGAAGCCAAGAAATTACCAGGTTATTCTTAATGTTCCTCCAATTTTGAGATCCCAGGATTGTAAGTCTTTAAGAAACTAGACAATTATTTATATTTGTTCAATTTTATTTATTTATTTATTTATTTATTTATTTATTTATTTTTAAGAAACTAATGGTGCTGGCTCTAGGGATGGGATTCTGTTTCCTTACCTAATGAAAAATAAAGGATAAGAACATGTGCTCTGAACAAGGGAAAAATCAGATAGCAGATCTTAAACACTTTTGCAAAGCTGTAGTAACAACTTAGAAAAGGAAGCTGCCACTTCTCTTATATTGTAGTTTAAGGATAACCTCTGCATTATCATTTCTCAATCCATAGTTATCTATGATCCCTTTTGGTGTTTTCATTTCAATGATAATCTTAAAAATTAGAACAATCACTTTCTGGAATAAATGGGTATCTGTATTATTACTAGGAACTGCCATATAATTTTAGTATCCAATTTTATGGTTTGTTATATGTGCTGAGTAAACAAAAGAGAGAATAGTCGGATGCAGTACAATAGGCAGGATGATCTCAAAAGAATCTGCTTTGGAGCACTCAGTACCATAGTAAATGTACTGAGGATCTCATCTTTAACATAGCACCAGCTAAGTATGACGACAAATGCAATTCAATTCTATTCCTAATTCCAGTTAACCATGTAACAGATTTCAAAAACTGCAATGCAACTTTTTTTTTTAAATAACAGCTTCACTGAGATATAATTCACATACCATATAATTCACTTATTTAAAGAGGACAAGTACAATGTTTTTAGTATTATATTCAATATATTCAGTTGTGCAAACATAACCACAATCAATTTTATAATCTTTTTGTTATCCCAAAAAAAGAAAGCCTCTACCCATTTTCTCCCAAACCCTTCACTGAGCAGGTTTAGGCAACTACTAATCTATAATATTTTCTGCCTGTATAGATTTATCTACTCTAGACATTTTTATAGATGGAATTATATATGTGATCTTTTGTGCCTGCTTTCACTTAGCATGAAGTTTCCAAGGCTTATCCTTATTGTATGTAGCATGTATTGGTACACCATTTCTTTCTGTAGCCAAATACTATTCTACTGTATGGATATACATTTTATTTATCAAATTATCAACTGATGGACATTTTGGTTGTTTCCACCTTTCAGTTGTTTCCCCAGTTTGGCTATTATGCATAACTAAAGGCCCGGTGTATAAATTCATGCGGGGAGCAGGGGGAGAGGGGGGTCCCCCCTCAGCCCAGCCCGCACCCTCTCCAATCCAGGACCCCTGGGGGATATCTGACTGAGAGTTTAGGCCCCATCCCCAGCAGTTGGGTATCCCTCTCACAATCCAGGACTGCTGGCTCTTAAATGCTCACCTGCCTGCATGCCTGCCTGATTGCCCCTAACTGTCCCGCACCCCCACCAACCTGGTCGCCCCCAACTCCTCCCCTTCCCCCGCTGGCCTGGTTGCCCCCAACTGTCCCCCTGCCAACCTGGTCGCCCCATACAGCCTTCTGTTCAGTTGTTTGGTCGTTCCTCACTAATCCTCCTGCCGGCTGGGTGACCCCACGCAGCCTACTGTTCAGTTGTTTGGTCATCCCTCACTAACCCCCCTGCTGGCCTGGTCGCCCCACGCAGCCTGCTGTTTGGTTGTTACTGTTACTGTGACGTTGTCCCGGAAAATTTGCATATTCCTCTATTATTAGTATAGATGTTGCTATGAACATTCATGTACAAATTTTTGCATGGATATACATCTTCATTCTTTTCTGTACATATCTAGGAGTGAAATCGTTAGGTCATTTGGTAACTATGTTTAACCTCCTGAGGAATACCAGGCTGTTTTCCAAAGTGGTTGTATCACTTTACAATCCTACCCTCACTAACTCTTGTTAGTATCTGCCTTCTTTATAACAGCCATCTAGTGGGTAGGATGTAGTAACTCACTGTGGTTTTGAGTTACAGTACCTGATGGTTAATGATGCTGAGCATCTTTTCCTGTTCTTATTGGGCATATGTTCATATCTTAGACCTTATCAGATATATGGTTTGCACAACCTTTCTTCCATTCCATGTTATCTTTTCACTTGCAAAGCAAAATCTTTAATTGAATAAGGCAATTCTAACTCTGCAAAGTCATCCAACAATACCTCATTAAAACTGGTATTCAAGGACTTCTCAGTCACCTTTGGTAAAGTATAAGATCTGATTATCATAAACTGCGTAACAATGCTTTGACATTACAAATACTACCTTGTATGCTATCTTCTACACTAGTATTACTAAAATTAAAATTTAGAAACAAATAAAATACATTACTGAATCCAAAGCTAAATCTTTCCACTGTTAAGCTCAACATTAAATATGTAGTTCATTTTAACAAACAGTATCTCTACCACATTAATATGTTAATTTGAATTTTCTTGTTGTATGGTATTGCTTACATCTGTATACTTATTCATGAAGATATAAATCCATGGCAACAACTGACATAATCTTGTAATCTAAATTTTATGATGTACACAGTTCCCCATGGCCATCAAAACATATTAGACTACTTAAATAAAATAATCTTTGTTTAGCATATATATTTTAAAAACCCACTGATCGGGGCACTACTATTATTGATTTTTAAATTTATTTTGATGTTGCAGTTAAGAGCTATAAAGGCTTAGCATAGGAGGTATAAGAATTATCTAGCTTTATGTTTGAGTATATTTAAAATAAAAATAATTTGCCAGTATTGGGAGGAGGGAGAGTCCTAATGCAATGTTTTTCCTTTAAATGCAATTTATATGACACTGAAGTGAAAGACGCTGTTCTTACTCAAAGGGAAGCTATTTTCAGAAAAAGTATGGGTATCAGAGGAAATTCCTTCCCTGGCTTTCTTTCTTTTTTTTTTTTTTTATGTTATTAATCTCTAACTTCCCTGGCTTTCTTATGCTATTAATTAAGAGAAGAGATTAAAAATGCAATATACACAGCAGTCACCTAAATCATCCAAAGTTCTTCAATGTAGACAGTAATATTTATTCATTTTTACTTTGTATCTGTAGCTGGTGAACAGGCAAAATGTATACCTTTATTTCCTTTAAAATAGAAAATGTACTAATTTAGCTCCGTAAATAATGGAAGAGACAACATTTAACTATCAGCAACCAAGGCTAGACCCACTGAATCATATTTTCCACAAATCATAAGTAAGGAATCTTGGCTCTAGATTAAGACTACAACTGATCTCAGAAATTGGTCAAAGTGGTACTGTTCAGATCCCGTTTCCCTCTCCCCTTTTACTATGTGCATGGCTAGCAATGCATATTAGACTGCTTAAAAAAAAAAATTGGCCCAGCATATATATTTTTTTAGAAATCCACTGACCCTGCCACTGCTATAATTGAATGTTAGCTTATAGTCAGCCTAGAGATTAATGCAGACAAAAAAAATCTCTGCAATGAACCAAAGCAAAAACAAAACAAAACAAGGCT